AGGAAAGAGAGTTCAGGTTGTATGTATACACCAAGAGGAGGCACACGCGTACCGATCATGCCCGGAAAGTGCGAGAATGGCGCTGAAGAGGCTGCGCACGCGTTGAATTTGGGGATTAGAGCCCTGAAATGGCGCGAGCCGGAGCCGGCTGGCTGAGAGATTTGGTGTGTTAAGGTAAATTGTGTGCTGTATAGGGAAAGAAGCGTGGCGGAGTGGCAGGAGCGGCGCAGGAGACAAAGAGAAAGTCGTAGGATCATGTTTGACCGGACGTGATTGCGTGCACATGATTCCCACGACGGGACCGTTGATCTGTTGAGGAAAGAGAGTTCAGGTTGTATGTATACACCAAGAGGAGGCACACGCGTACCGATCATGCCCGGAAAGTGCGAGAATGGCGCTGGAGAGGCTGCGCGCGTTGAATTTGGGGATTAGAGCTCTGCAATGACGCAAGCCGGAGCCGGCTGGCTGAGAGATTCGGCGTGTTGAGGTAAACTGTGTGCTTTATCGAGACAGATGCGCGACGGAATGGCGGGAGCGGCACGGGAAGAAACAAGTAGAGCTGTAGGATTGTATTTGACCGGACGTATTCGCGTGCGCATGATACGCACGCCAGATCTGTTAAGGAAAGAGGATTCAGAGTGTATGTATAATTCACGAGCAGGCGTACGCGTATCGAGCAATCAGAGTAGTGCGATCATGTAATGACGGGATGCATTCGCGTGCGCATACAGGTGGGGTAACACGTATACCGGAAATGCCGCTTCTGGAGATAGAGACATTCGAACCGTATGTGTAACTCATGAGCAGCAGGGGTACTTGCATGGGAATCATGTATGACCAGCCCATCAACGAGTTTTTGCCGCACGTATGACATCGAACGCCGCCAGGGGTGTCGTAAAGCCCACTGTATGACGGGCCGCAAGCTATATCGTGGCCATGACCATGGAGCCTACAGCCGTTTTCAAAAATCATGAGCGCGGCACCAGAAACGAGACGCGCGTCGTGAACGACCCCAAAGCTGGGTTTGCCGCCAGCACATCGTGTCCGACGACGAACTCTACGATGATGTGACCCAGGACAGCATTGAAACGCTCAGAATACGCGTGAGGAGCTCTAAGGATGATTCTTGAGAGTGGTAAACATGATATTCAAAGAGATTAACGAGCAATTTCCCAGTAGCAGGCAAGGACAGTGTCAGCGATTGTAAACTGTGATTATGGACGCTACGTCCAGCAAACCTGGACACAGTCCAGCCTCTGTATGATCAAATACATGTCCCAGAAGTCTGCTGATGTTTTCTACAACGAGATGTTTGGGAACTCATCATCGACTCGTCGGGGAGCATTGGGTAAGACCCTTATATTAGGGTTACTGCCAGCAGCAGCATGGCACACAGGGGCAGCCATTGTACAAGGGTACTGCACCAAATCAAGGTGTAACCCGCTATCAAGGAGATCCCATAGGCGAGTGGAAGTTGACAGAATGGGTGAAAGACAATCCGCCGGGAGCATCAGGTTGAGGGAACCAGAAACCCCCAGAGACATTGCACATCGTATCTCGAGCTCAAGATCGGGCTAACCTTCGGCTCTCCTATGCTCGGGCACTCCTCAGACAACAACAGCGATACGATCCCGTCGAGATGCTTGAGCTGGCTGACCTCCTGAGCTCGCCGGCTCGCTGATCTGGCGGTGACCCCACTTTAGGGTCGTTCACGACGCGCGTCTCGTTTCTGGTGCCGCGCTCATGATTTTTGAAAACGGCTGTAGCACTGTGTGAATGCATGTATGACTGGATACGCGCGTGCATGACGACGGGAACGACGCGTGGAGGTCCATGTATCACGATCAGGTGTATGGTAGAGTTTGCCGTTGATTGTTTGTATGACGGGCTGAGGGCACACTATGTGCATCGTCGCCGTGAGTATGACCCAGACATCATCTCGTATCAGCTTGACATGTATGTATGATCTGGATTTCGGTGACATGCTCCTGCGTGTGATTGTGAACCGGTATTTATGATCTCCACAATGGTGTCGCTCCTTATGTATGCCGTTCAAACGATGTTTGCCCATCTTATCAAACGCAACTAGTCACTACGGCTGGTTCCATGCGAACGTGTCTTCTCATCGAGCAAGGAGACGTGTACATCACGCCGGAGTCGACTGTCTCCGAAGACCATTGAGATGTTGCAGGTTCTCAAGTTCATTTACCGACATTCAAGCCTCAACTTTACATCGCAGCTCCTTGCAAACACTTGTGACTACGAGATTGAAGGGCCTGTGACCGCATACGCCGTCCAGGAGCTCAGGGAATCAGGTAAAATGGATGAATTGGCCGATCTCCTGCAGAACGCAGCAGACTCGGAATAATTAACAATGTACACTGCCATGTATATACTACTTGCACCCATTTTGCTGCCTATGCCGTCCAGATACATGTACGTGCACCGAGTCGTAGACACGCTGCCGCCTAGCGCGTCAAAGCCCAGACATGGCTACTGGGCTTAGCTCAACGCCGGCCCACGTCACTGAGCCTGAACAGAGCCGTGGCTCTGGCCCAGCTCGGCTTGGCTCTTGGGAAACACTACCTCCCACAGCCATCGCAGATCTAACTTCCCATGTAACCATGACGAGCGGCCATAGAGAACTCACGATCACGCGTACCACGACTTCCGCTTTTCGAACAGAAGAATCAGAACGCGTTTGGTTCAACTTGTCAGTCTCCCCTCAGCTATGCTGCCATGAAGGGCACGGACTATCCCTTGGACGTGCAAATAGGTCAGGATATACAGGGTGAGCAACTTAGACTGAGATACAATCCTTTGAGACACACCTTCGGGGTAGATGTACGTTTAGAGTCTCAAGATGCCCAGAAGCTCGCAGATATCATCCCGAACCTGCCAATCAACAATGTAGGGACCTCTATGCCGGGGCGAGACGCTCGGAATCTGCTGGACCAGATACAACTGGTGCGTGGTCGTCGAGGGTTCATCTGTTACACATGTCATTCAAACATGACCGTCAGGCCCTCGATCGAGATATACGAGGTGCCGACCTGCGCCGCAGGGCTACGCAGATGCTAGTCAAGTTGTGCTGTCAATGGAACATGTTGCCCCCCTCCCTCTTCGTCCGCCGCGCGCGACGGATAGGCAGCGATCCGGTCTCTTGCGGCGGGTTCGCCGACATCTTCAAAGGAACCCTTGGGTCCCGGCTAGTTGCGCTTAAGCGCATCCGCATCCACGCTACCCAGACGGCGGAGCAGAAACGCAAGATTCATACTGTGAGCGCCAGATGGCATTGTCTGCCAATCGTATCTGATTGCTCGATAGTCTCTGTGTCGTGAAGCCATCCCATGGCGTCAACTCCGGCACCCGAATGTTCTTCCATTCCTAGGCATCGATTGTGAAACTGCAGCGCCCCATTGGATATGCCTTGTCTCGCCATGGGTGCGGTATGGCGACATTATGCATTACATAGAGACGCGCCAGTTAGTGTTCGACGACGTACACAGATTAGTGAGTGTCCTTCGGGGCGGTATGTTTGAAAATCTTAATAATATGCACGTATCCAGATGTTAGAGGTCGCTAGCGGTTTACAGTACCTGCACTCACAGCACCTGGTACACGGAGACCTTCGCGGGGTGCGTGAACATGACTACTCGTAGACCCAGCGTACATTGACCTGCCTCATGCCGAATAGGCAAATATCCTCATCGACGAGAATCATCACGCTCTCCTGGCTGACTTTGGTTTGATCTCTTGGACGATGGCCACCGGTACGGCTGGGACGACTGATGGCCATGGGGCGTATCGTTGGATGGCCCCTGAGCTGCTCCGACCCCCTAGGGCTGGACATCCTTTTCAGCGTACCCCTGCCAGCGACATGTACGCGTTCGCGTGTACCTTCGTTGAGGTAAGACCCGCTGCAGGTTATCAGATGACAACTTGTTCCTCAATGGCATCTTGCTCTTAGGTTTGTACCCGACAACCGCCTTACTGGCACATCACCCACGATGTTACAGTCGCGTCGCTCATCATCAACGGAGAGCGTATCGCACGTCCATCTGCGAACTTCATGTGGACCGGAGATGATTTTTCCGACGAACTCTGGCATATACTTGAAAGTTGTCTTTCTGAACCGCCACTACGGCCCAGTGCCGCCGACGTCGTCCGCTTCATGCAAGCTTGCAGTGCAAATACATCCGTCTCGGCCGAAGTCTCGGTTTCGGGGACCACGAAGGATCTCCGTGCACAACTTGAACTATTACGTTCCTACTTGGCTAAGCACTCCGATCCAGGTAGACATAATGCTTTTTCCCGTGCGAACCACTGCCTCATTTATGGTGTTAGCGAAGCTGTTCCTACGCTCCAACGCATCCAAGCAACGTCTCCAGAACCTAAGCGTGAAGCAGGTCAGTCGTGGCGGCAACCGCCTTGACGGTGATATTAACCCTATGCTAGTTCCACGACATGACTGCCGACATTTGCGACGAGCTTTCAAGGCGCAAAGCTTACGGTAACACAGAAGGCATGTATCAATCATTGGTCTCACGCTCCCCACTCGTACCACGCTATCTTCAGTCATATTCATGGGAAAACGTTAATAAAATGCTAACTACCAGTGTAGCACGATCTTTCCTGCCTTCACAGAAGGATTTCAAGCGCGAGCGCAATATAGCGCGTCAGAACCTTGCGAGCTGCCCTATAGACCAATTTGAGACTCTCGTTTGCGATATTCGCCACGAGCTTCTGCGCAGGCATCCAGAACTACAGATCGCTGTGAGTACCTTCACGATGGCATATGCAGTGCCTTATTCGTACTAATGCATATCGTTTGAAGTTAGGTACATCGCACGTACTGCCTCATGAGTCTGAGAACGTTCGTGAATCTCCGCCACTCGCTATTAAGCGAAATACCATGCATCGCCACCAACCTGCCTTAGAAACTCTTCCCCTACTCACACGATCTAGTACCGTCCGTGGCTTTGGTCGAGATCCGGAGGCTGCAGGACACCATCCCAATTCCATCGACCAGAGCACACGCAGACGAAATAGCCAACCGGAACCCGTCTCGCATTCGCCATCGGAATATTTTCCCAAGCAACTATTACACTTTCTCCCTCAAATCGTGTATTCGAGGAGCAACGCTGGGACGCCTACGCCATCGGAACCCGGTTCCGACACGGAACGGTTTGACGACATTACGGTATCGGAAGCAGATGCGAACCGAAAGATCAACGAATGCATTCAACTAGTCTTCGGCCTTCGCAACGTCAGGAAAGCCGAGGTTTTCTTCAGGCGCCTCCCTACAATACACCACAGCCGATTGGTGGAGCAGCTGGTCTTCAGAGCGATACAGTCGAAGCAGGTCGACGCTCAGCTTGTCGCGGACATTTTTAGTCAACTCTTCCGGACCAAAGGATGTACACCCGCGGCTTTCGAAGAGGGATTCCGCTCCATAGCGACCATGCTCGATGATATTGCTCTTGACGCGCCGGACGCATTCCACATGATGGCCAATATGATGAAGGGATCGGGCATGGATGCCGAGCGTTGTTCGCGGGTCGCCGAGAACTCCTTGGACAAGAATAGGTTGCTGCGTTTGCTGGTGGAATCAGCGCCGCTTCCCTTCAAGATTGTGCTCATGTCTCATGCGAGCGACGGCGACGGTCTTTAGGCCGTGCGTACATACACCCCCTTGCCACACGCAACTGACTACTGTACACCATATTAAGTAATGACAACTACTGAGGAATGCATAATCTACCGTATCGTATCATGTTAACCAGCCGAAGAATGTATTGCTCGCTGCAATGTGACAACAGGGACATTTGCTACAAAGTCTTCGCACCAGTATTCGCACCAAATGAGGGAGCAACGATTGGATGTCTGTGGCCAATTCCTGTTAACAGTTGAAATCGCATACCAAAACTCACGAAGATAGCATAATTCTCAGCACAGTAGGCCTCTCCCAATTGGCGAGGCCCGTAACATATGTATCAGCGCTGAATGCCTTGATCATATAAACGGAGGTTGCAGCCATCTGCAACAATATCAGGTGAGTGAATAGAATTGCGGAGTATGCACGCACCTCCAGAGCGGTCAGAACGGCGCTGAGGCCATTTATTAGATGTGCCCGAGATATGCAACCGATAGCTTCGACATGTAAGACATTTGCCACCAGTCGGATCTGAAAGGTGCGCGCGCGTTCAATCATGAGGTAGTAAGATACGAGGCGAATCACTCACGAAGTGATACTGGATGAGGGGTAACATGATTGCCGCACAGATCGTCAGATACTGTTTGTATATCCGGCCGTGCCGTGACTCGAAATGCACGGACTGGCACTTGGTAAGAATTCTGTCAAATAAGAAGCTATATAGTCTTCGTCAGTGCTTGAAAGTAAGCTGAAGGTGATGTCACCAGCCTTGCTATGGGTAAATATACCTGTCCCATAAGCGTGTTGAATGCGTGAGCAGACTCCCAATGGAGCTGCTCGTCGAGTAATCCGGAAACCATATCAACTATATGGTGGCATCAGCTTTGAGTGCTTCATTCCACTTGAACCCTGGAGACTGACTAGAGGAAGACACGAGGAACGCTGCTAGCAGGTACTTTATCCCCCGTGCGTCTCGCGATCCAGAATTCAAGGAAAGCCGTTCCTGCGTAGTTTAGTGATAAGTGCCTGGCACACGCAGTTGGATATCATACTCACCCCGTTCGTCAATGGCGCATACTGTGATAGAAGAGCCCTGTTCAGGCGTCGATCGCTTATGAGCTCATATCGCCACTGGAAGGGAAATGTTTTCTTACAAGAAAGCGCATATGGCTCCAATCTGACACAATTGAACATATGAAGGCTGCGTGCGCGGTGTAACCATGGGCTCACCTCGACGACGATAACAGTGCCGTCTATAAAAGCGTATCGTCGCAGACCGGACCATAGAGCAACCGCGCGGAAACCAATGGTGATAGGAAGCCACAAAATACGAAGTCTGAGATAGAAATAGATATGTTTGTTAACGCAACGCTACCGTATGAAGATGGATTTACATTGGACGCTGTTCCTCGGGCACGTTGTAGTTTCTGTAAGCTGTATTATGTCGTGTATTCACGATAGCGAGACATTTGCGTACAAGCAATGGCGTCTTGCCAGATAAGCGAATGCCATTATATCCTTCAGAAGAGTGAATCACGCCGCTCGAACAGAAACGCGGACCAATCTTACCAACACCAAGGACGTGCTAACGATCAACCATCCCGCACGAAACAAGCCCCCCTGTAAACCGGGAAGAGCTGACAGGAACGGATAATGGAGTTCCTCAGGGCAAGCTGCAATGTCGGTCATGGTGGTCTGTAGCTGAAAGGAGCGGGTATAATAGGCCGCATTGTTACCTCATCATGTTGCGGAACCTAAACTGCGTTCTTTACACAGTAGTCTGGCTACCAGGTCCGTGATTGACGGAGCATTGAACCTGAATTCGTTCGCAGGTCTTTAAGCACGCTGCGATAGATCGAGCTTTATGGCACAATGTGAGGCGGTGCTGCGTTAGATGCCGTACATACTGCGAGCATTCTCCCGACCCTCTCCCATTACCCTGTCCACGTCCCATCCCTTGTCGGCTCCTCCGGCTACGTCCGCCACAAACTCTGCAGTCCAAGGAAGCATACCAGTATGACATAGAGGGAATTTGCCCCTCATACCGGTCAAGGATGGCGACTTGTAGATGTTACCAGGCACCATGAATGGAGCGTCTGTTTCAAGTACGATTCGAAGCTTCGACGATTCGGACGCGGCGAGGTTGCGGATGACGGCGGACGTATTCAAATTCGTGGAGTATGTGATCACGCCTATTTTGGCATCAACACTGCGTCAGGCTAGAGGTTGTGAGGGTAATGTACCAGTGATACCAACATATAAATTTGGGAAATGGTCCAATAGCCTTTGTGCGAACTCAGGTGAGTCCGTAAAGCAATGAATATGAATCTGGTTTGGCATATATGAGTAGGCTCCCTTAGGCGAAGAGAACCTACTAACCTTGTGATCTTTGGGGGCTTCTTCCTTGAGGATCCGCTCGGTATCTTCTTCCGCTTCACGAGTGTGGATGGTGAGAGGTTTGCCAAGGCGGATGGCATGTCTCAACTGACGCCGGAAAACATTTTGCTGAATTTCCCGAGGCGAATTGTCGTAATGATAATCTAGTCCAATTTCCCCCCAGCCCACGCATCGTGGGTGGTTCATGGCCTCTAATCTGATGACTGTCAGGACCCTTCTAAGGGTATGAGTTCATGAGTGCGCATACATGTCACGTTCCACGTCGTCATTATAGTTCTTCGCTTCATGGCTGGCAGTTTATGAGGTGGGAGACGGGGGGTGGAATGGATGACTCACGGGTGAACGCCTGAATGCATATCAATTCTATTGAGGTGCATGATCCCAGGTGGAAGGTACTGCTTACCCATAACGAACCAGTATTCCGTCCCATTCCAGTTCTTCTGCCTGTCCTCAGGGGTCAACGCAGAGTCCGCAATCTCCTTCCAGATCCGCTCCACAGGAGCCTCGCAGTACACGTCTACGATGGCCTCGACGTTGTGCCCTCGGTACATTTCTTTCGCGAATTCGTAGATCGAGCCGGACAACAGCCTGCCATCCTTATACTTCGCCTGGTAGAAACTATAAAATCCGAGCTGAGTTTCTGAGTTGTGCGAGGAGCATTGCTGAGTCTACCTGAACGTAGACACGAGGTGCGTATGGGTGTCAACTACCGGAGCCTTACTAGAAGGATGCCCAACAAGTAAAAGGTGTTCCTCCGACGGGGTTGAGTTCTTCTTCTTGCCCATTGTGCGAGAGCTGTTCTTCAAGTGGGATGCCGATTTGCTGAATTTCCTGGAAGCTATAGCGATTCGGGATTGGTTATATACGATAAGCTGAGGGTATATCCGGAGACGCGTCCATCTATGTATCATCCTATCACTATGAAGCGAGTCATGCTGGTAGTCATGAGCAATTGCAAGACTCAGGGCAGTTCGACGCGAATCCCGACGACATCGGGGACCAATTTCCTCGCTCTGGTCATGACGATATCGCGAACACACGAGGCATGCGTATCCTCTCTTGCTCACATTCGTATGGATAGGCGTGGACATGCAACCTCACCAGGAAACTCCGACAGCGAATGATTCCAGAGCACTTACCGCCGGTGATTGTTCGCTTTCCTACCATCCGTACACAGGAGACCGGTGAATCTGAAATCTCAACAGATTTGACGCACAACGATGCCAAGATTCTTTCTGAACTCATTCACGAGCTGTCATTTGAGGGTGAATGTTGTCTGACAGTTGACGAAGCGAAGCTGCTCCTGGACAAGATACAGCGAGTGCGTGATGCCCACATTGAACGGTTACGTCTGAAGTTGAACTGTGCAGGCTCTGGACGAAGGCTCATCGACACCAGACTTCCATAGAAGGGCGATACAAATGTTGATCAAGCTTTCGTCTGATTGGAACGTCTTCCCGCCCTCCCTGTTTATCAGCGCGGCCCGGCGTGTCGGCGATGAGCCAGTGTTCATGGGTGGCTTCGCAGACATCTTCAAAGGATACGTGGGGAGCATGCCGGTTGCGCTGAAGCGCATGAGGGTGCACGCTGTGTCGGCACGACAGAGAAATGGTATACACACCGTACGGGCTGTGTTCGGGTGTAGCGCTTGACTTTGCTCATGCATCTTGCAGGCCTTATGTCGAGAAGCTCTTCCATGGCGTCAATTGAAACATCCCAATATCCTGCCTTTCCTCGGTATCGATTCGGAAACGTCTTCGCCTTGGCTATGCCTTGTGGCACCCTGGGTGCGACACGGCAACCTCAACAGCTACGTTGAAGCCCACGATTCTCCTCTGCAAGAGGTTCATAGGTTGGTAAGTGTTCGTAGTATGAAAGGGAGCAAATAGCACGACTGACATAGCTTAATCTAGCTTCTCGAAGTTGCGCGGGGCTTACTATACCTTCATTCGGAGTACCTTGTGCATGGCGACCTCCGTGGGGTGCGTAACTTAGTCTTCACCTGCAACATAGGGTGATCAACTGATCAACACCTAAATAGGCGAACATTCTTGTGGACGATGGATATCACGCCTTGTTGGCGGACTTCGGACTCATCGGGTGGACCAAGGCCACAGACGCCGGGGGACATACATATGGACGCGGCTCGTATCGCTGGATGGCTCCGGAGTTACTCGATCCTTACAGCGACGGGAATAGCGCCTTTGCACGAACGGCTGCAAGTGACGTTTACGCATTCGCATGCACGTTTCTGGAAGCGTATACTCGAAAACCACCTTTTTCGCATATAGCAACCGAAATGGGAGTCGTCGCTCGCGTCATGTCGGGTGAAAGGCTAGGCCGACCTACCGATGTTACCCATGGATCTGGCGATACCTTGCCTGATGACACTTGGCGGATGCTTGAAGCCTGTTCGTCACCGAGTGCTGAATTGAGGCCCTCTACAGCAGAGGTCGTTCGATTGATGGAGCTCCCGCCCATCGAAGTTGTTCCCAATGATGATGAACGGTCGTCGCGTGTAGGTGTTCTCCGATTACTCCGTTCATGTACATGTTTCAACTCTAATCCTTCTCCTAATTAGCCCTTTACCAGTGAAACGGTCGATCACGAATGCTCAGCTCGACCACAATTTGTCAGAGTACGGAGCCAATTGTCAGAGGCCAGAATAGATGCACGTCTGGACCTCCAGACACTTGTTCTACCCATCACCGTCCTGCTAGCAGACGGTACGCACTCTCTTCGGCTTGCCGCCGATGTTACTCACACGACTTATAGAGGACGAGGCGCACCTAGACACCTTGTCCCGGTTCCTTCAAGATTTGCGCATCAAGCATGAGACGGTGCGAGACGGCGCAAACGCTGTGCGCAGATGGACCGCTGGAGGCATTGACCTCATTCTGGTATGCCGTTATTCAATCGATATATTCTTTGACTGACAGTAGTGCGTACGCGTCAAGATGGCCAACAATTTGTCCGTTATGACCGGTTTCACGGCGACAAGAGAGATACGGCGGCTTGAACAGTCCTTGTCCGTACCGCGCTTGCGTTACATGGAGGGAAGGATATCGGTAATAGTTGGTCGACCCACCGTTATCATCGTTGCGATGATCGCGCCGTCCGGCCAGGCCGAGCAAGTCGAGGCCCTTGCCGCGGGATGCAACGATTTTCTCTATAAGCCCGTCGACCTGACTTGGCTCAGACAGAAGGTCATCGAATGGGGCTCCATGAAAGCCCTGGAGAAGTGGGTGGAGGGGCGCGCGGATCGTTCTGCCTCCTCTTCCCCTGACCACGAAATCCCTGTCTCTCCACCTTCTGTTACGAGGAAAGATGCACCCCCCGTTGCCACTGGCTCCCGGTCTCGCCAACCAGTATACTCTGGAAGAGCGGATAAGTTCCGGATAGAAGATGTATCTCAGTTATCAGGGTCAGAGGCAGGATTCATTCGCTCTCTCCGCGCAGGATCTGGGTACGTCTCAGGATCGCGTGGGGTACAGTCGACTCCCCTTCGGGAAGGTGAGGATGCCGGCGACTCTGGAGAACCTTTTGCACCCGAAGCGTCTCCACAAACCGGCGTCGTCGTCGCTCATCCTGACGGAAGACCGCTAGGGATCATGTTCCATCCAAGGCCCAGAAAAACGGACGCCTGAGGAACCTGTACGAGCCTCATTGCACCGCGACCGCCGTTTACACGATGGCTCTTCCGAACTCAATTCCGCTCGTGTAGGAGTGCGGACCATGCATGTGGATCCGTCAATCGTCGGCGCAACAGCCGCTCGCTGTTGAATGGAAGAGCGCGCATCGAGGGCTACGGATGTGCGGATCGATACCCAGATGCATTAGGGACCAGGCGGGTCGTATGCATAACCGACCACGCGCACTGCAGCGGTGCGATAGGATGTGATCTGGTACAGTGGACACTTTGATCTCGGTTTGCACAGCGGATGCTCTAGATCTTTGACGGCGTTACTACCTTGCGTTCGCTGCGGAGCTATGTAGAAGGACTGAATTCTTTTCATGTTTGCGATATCGGTGTACCGCCTATATACGCGTACGAGATCACTGCCCCAACACCACTGCTCCGACGAACATCCTAAATGACACCACCACCAAACCTAATTGCCACAATCAGGCGCTCGCGCTCGCTATCGGTAGAGATCTATGTAGCGAGATAACACCAACATTACATCTACCGAACGAGGGCGGCTAGTCCACATGCGCCTCTCGATCCATCGCGCCTGGACTTGGATCTTTATACACTTGCCTTGGCTACCGTCCCTGCCAGCCGCAGCCATCATCACGCGAACTCTCGGGATATTTCACTCGCTGTTTCGGGTCATCGCTCCGGGTCAGCTACCTCCACCGCGTGCCGATGCGCACGTTCCGGGCCCGATCTCATCCCTCCCGTCTGCATGGCTTTGGCTTGGCTTTGACAGTCTCTATGAAAACTTGACGTTTAACGTTGATCTCATTATGGTCATGGTAAGTAAGTAGATCTTTTTCACTTCCGACCGTCGAGCCGTCCATTGCGGCTCGGCATCAACGACGTTTCATTCATATGCGCGCGCCGCACCCATCGTGACTCACTGTGAGGCATGAGCGCTCCGTGTTGGGCGCCTCGCCCATGCGCAACTTGAGAGAGCCGGACCCAGACCCTTCTCCGACCGTGGAGTCGGCGGAATATGTATCCGCCTTTCCGACGCTGGCGGGGCGGGGCATCACGAGTCTGGCGCTTGCTCCTCATCCTTTCGTGCCTCTTTCAGGTCTCAAGAGGCGGGACCGTGCTCGTGTACCTGGAGATAGATGGCGTCAGAAAGTCACTGATAGGCGTCAATAGAGCGGCTGGGGCAGTTCGTGTATCGCCATTGAATCGCGTACAGCCAACGATTGCTGTACTACATTGGCTGTACGGATCGAACGATCTGAAAAGAGGCTGAGCTTAAGCGAACGTACAGGTATGTCATCCGCATACATACGCAAACTCCACCCTGATTGCATGCTGATGTAAAAAGCAAAACTAAGCGAGGCTTTTAACCAAGCTGGTGCCTACCCTGCGTAAATGCGTAGAGCTCTGAGATCTGACTTTGTGTGAGCCATCAGCAGACTGAATGTACGGATCCGGATCGATCGCGGGCGTAGGACCTTGGCTATTGCCACGTTTGGTCCCTAGTGCGGCGGCGAGTACGGTGCGCTACATTTTTCCAGAACGAGACTCCCGACGGTACGGTACTGCATCGGTTAGCGACGTAGATGCTTACTAGTAGTGCCCGCGCAGTCCGAGCAGTACGAAACGCTTTTGCAATGTGCGTGCGCGCGTAAACGCTGAACGCGGCAGAGGAGGGGATTGGTCACGGCGCCTGACTACGAAGCAGATTAGGTTTGCTTCTCGAAATAGCTCCATGCAGGCCACTATCACAGGAAGCGCACTGGCAGCGATCCCTTCGTTGCCCTCCTGGCACCGAGCTGGCTGGATGTTAGGAGTGTCTGCACTCGCACTTCTCTTCCGCACCGCGCTATACCGATGGGGTTGTGCAAGGGCACGATCGCGGTGGACGGTCGGTGGTCCCGACGCACGCGGCGCGCTGACACACGCCGGATAAGGCAATTCGCGGTTCTGATGGCGGTGGGGAGAGCACCGCCACCAGCCGTTGATGGGACCCCCTCGTGGGCCGCGGGAATCTGGATCGGAAAAGGGGATCGCGCCGGGTGTCGCTTAGTGCGCTGGCTACTTTATCCCCTCCCGGGCCTGTCAAGAGAGATGCGAGCGAGTGCGTGGAGATAACCGAGCCCCCGTCCTCCTCCCTGTCAGCGTCCCTGCTCACGACCCGCCACGACCCAGCGCCCAACGCCCGACGTTCTCATCGCCGCACCCGTACTCGGCGCACCGCGGCCTCGTCGACCCTTTCCATCTCTTCCTGACGACCGCCCTCAGTTCGTCGAGCTTCTGCTGCGAGACCGTATCTCGAGATGTCTTCTCCCTCTCAGGCCCCCAACATCGCGCAGATCATCCTACCCCCGGGATTCACCTTGCCAGAGTATGAGAAGCTGCAGGGACAGTTGGGTACGTCCTCCTGGTCGTCGTGTCCAGATAGCGAGCCTGAACGGCCATCCCTGCCAGTCACCATAGGAATCGTGACCGCCGTCGCGTTCGCCCTCGTCTGCTGGGACTAGTACGTCTGCTTCTACCGGTACCACACAACTTCCCATTGACCATCGTCGCAGTGTCGTACTCCTACGAGATGAGCTCAAGCTGTATGTCACCAACACCCGCGCCATATGGCGGACACCGGCAACGCTCGCCTTCATCGTCCTCCGTTACTCCGCCTTCCTCGCCACCCTTCCTTCCCTTTTCTTCACCTCCATCCAGTCTCAACACTGTCAGACCGCCGTGATCGCCTCCCAGGTCGGTGCTGTCCTCGTCGTCGCCGCCTCGGGCGTCATCTTCTCCAACCGGGTGGTCGCCATCTGGGGCAACAGCAAGTTTATCATCGCCGTCACCGTCGTGGCATGGTTAGGACTCATAGGCTGCTGGGTATGCATCTCTCCTATAATTCCAGCCTTCCCTCCCACTCACGCACCGTTCATCCGGCAGATATCCGTCGCGACGCAGTACAACGCCATCACCGGCCCCACGACGCCCTTCGCCTCCAACTGCCAAATGCAGCCCATCGTCTCCTGGGCGCCGATCTCCTATGCGTCCTCGGTCGTGTTCGACATCATCGTCCTCGCCCTCACCGTCTTCAAGCTCCGCGCGAACGGGCTAGAAAAGTCGGCCGTTTCCCGCCAGATCTTCCGGGACAACCTCGCCTACTTCGTCGTCACCGCCGCGACGAACATCGTCGTGCTCTCCATCCAGGCCCTCGGCGAGTCCTTTTCGATGATCAAGCCGACCGCGGTCCCGTTCTCGACCGTCATCACCGTCGCCATGTCCGAGCGCGTCTACCTCAACCTCAAGCTCCTCCGCACCCGCGAGGAGCGCGGGCGGCACACCACCCTCGGCTCCTCCGCGCCGACGTACATGTACTCCGTGCCCGGCTCGGGCGCACCGGAGACGCTCAAACGGAGCGCCGTGCCGCAGACGTGGGGCGTCACCCCCGGCTGGAGTGCCGGCCAGATCGAGGAAGGCCCGCGCTACTCCGAGGCCGGCACGACCGAGGTCGAGGGCTGGGAGATGCAAAACAGGGACGCCAAGCCCTGGGAGCTGTACAACCGAGAGGCGAAGATGTGATGAAGGACTTTTTCGTCGATCCTCTCGTTTAGTCGCGCGCTGGCTGCTTGCTTGGATTCACGCTCCGGATGCTTTCCTACTATACTCTACATTCCCTCCCCGGCCGCGAACTGAGCGCCGTATATCTGGATACGCTGCCGCGGTTTATACCAGCCGTTCTCTCCCACCAGTATGTGTAACTAGGCTTTTTACTTATTGTTTTTCCACCATCCCCATATACTGTCCTTTACGAGTACAACGCGCATGGGGACCGACCGCACACATGAAACGAATTTGGCCCCGGATCTGTGATACATCGACCGCCGATTTGATGTCATGACCGATACGAATGAACCTGAACGGCCTGAAGAGGACGAATCAGCGACCGGTTGTTGGGCTCCACGCTGATCATATCAAATGACGTCCCTCGTCTCGTCTTCTTTGCATCGTATATAGACACCGAACATGAGCGTCAAGTGGGTTACCCTCGGGCCCCGCCTGTTGCGAAAACGCGGGGCGGGACAACGCAAGCGGCATGCTACCTGCCGCCTGATTGATACTAAGGTCTGGGGCACGGCGGAGGTATAGCTACTTCGTTCAGCTGATCATATCAGGCAACCCGGCCTACCAGGGAAGGCGCGAAGCCGTGGTTGGCTTGTTCGGCACGGTGATCGTGGCAAGTAGTGTTTGTGAGTTGGACGAAGCCCTGTGACACCGCTGCGCTTCCGCAGGACACGGGCATATGAGGGACGACGACTCAAGGAACAACCGGTCTGCATTGATGCAACCAGGACCGTAATTCAAGGGCAACGGGGAAGCAGCGACGAGTCTGTGCTCAAGCCTCAAGGCGTCATGCACAGAATCGATAAAACCATTAACGCTCATCTTCTCGATGTTGGACGATTGAACAGGGATCGGCAGCGCGACTGAACGCATCCCGCGTGCATGCACGCGCAACGCAGGAACGCCGTCGTACCGAACGGAAGCATCCCCTTCCCGAATACGAAATCTGGATTCGGTGGTCGGCCCCGGCGCCGTGATCGACGGATCCCTTGCACGCGGCGTTACAGGCTTTCCCTAACGTACTGTACGAGGACGGCTGGGGAATGGTCGGATGAAGAGAGTGTACTTGCAGGTGGTAAAAGTTCTCCGCAGTAGGCAAAGATGTCCGCGGGGAGCCCCGCCAAAACATGCAGTGCATAGTCAACGTCCCGCTCCACTTTGCCCGTGCTGCAAATACACTCTAATACAAGCGAGCAATTTCCCGCTTTCGCCGTTTCTCGCGGATTGACAAGCGCTTACTGATATGTCACTGCCTGTATTAACGTATGACTAAGCGAAAGCCTTAACGCCCGGCGATGGCGGATGCAGAACGCGGAAAACGGAGCTTACGCAGTACGGCCCTCACGAGAGGGATTCCGGGGTTGCGACTTGTGAAAAGGCTCTGCGACGAACCGTGTCGCGGGCAGGTTGTCAAGCGACATGTAATGATTTTTTCTGTCGACGACCACGGCTGGATGTCATGCGGCGATGAAATACCACGGAGCATTGACGATGTTTCATTACGAATGTGTAATACGGTAGCGATGATACATGACATCCTACAAGCAAAACCTGGCATCACATAGGCATAGATGCAAATGTAAATTCACAACATAAAAGTACACGCACTCACAATAGCCACCGCGGCCCTACCGAAGCGCCTCGGCGACGGCCACCCGCTCCCTGAGGTCCTTCACCTCCTCCACGAGCTTGAACGTCCGCACGCCTTCCTCCCGCCTGAGGTCGCAGCACAGCGTCACCACGGCGTCCACGTTCTTCCACGCGTCCAATCTGTCGCGCAGATCGTCGGGCCCCATCACGTCCGGACACGAAAGGGGCAGCTCGTGGTGCCACTCCCAAGTGAAGCCGGACATAATCCCGCATGTTTTTGGGCCGCTGCCACGTTCTGTGGAATCGACGGCGGTGGCGGCGGTGGGTGGCGGCGTGACGAGCGTGGAGAGGAAGCGAGCAACAGCGTGCGAGTCGACGATGGGAGATACCCCGAAGCCGAGGGCATCGAGGCTTGGGCCGAATGTTGGCCAGGACTCGTCGTCGTCGAGCGAGTACGGCGGTGGCGGGGTAGGTAGCTCTTCCAACCTCGTCGCATCGACGTAGAGGTGGAGGTGCTCGAGCTTGGGGCAGTGACGAGCGAACGGCAAAAGCGCCGCAAGCGTGAGCGTCGGGCGCTCCAAATAAAACGGCTCCGAGTTAAGCAGGCAGCTCGTCAACTGACTGCCGAACCCCTTCGCGAGCTCTTCGACGTCGTCGAGACTGAGGCGAATGGGCAAGTCGTGTGTGAGTTCGAAGTGGCAGAGGCGCGCGCAGGCGAAGAGCGGGCGGAGGGTGTCGACGGTGATGCGGTTGTTGAGCAGGTTTGGGGTGTACAGCGTAAGCAGATCGACAACGTCGTCTTCGGGCCGTTCCCGTGGGCGCAGTTCCATGTAGAGGTGAGCGAGGGAGGGCATTGCGTTGGGTAAGGCAGCGAAAAAATCATGTAAGGGATCGGGGCCCTCAATGTCGAGAGCTTGGATGTACAGATCCGTCACCTCGCGTGGGGAGAATGGGTTGGAGAGGAGTTTGGTGATGTCGCTTAATGACACCGCAAGAGAAAAGTCCACGAGGGAGGCGAAGGCGTCTTCTTCCAGCGCAGGGGAGAATGGGCTGCAATCGGAGGCATCCCCGTAACCTTGTTCCGGAAAGTGTTCGAATTGCAACACCTTGAGGTACGGGAGGCGGGAGAGCTCCGACACGACGCGGGAGCTCACCCAATAGATAGGTAAAACGACCTTTTCGAGCCTACGTAGCTTTGACAGGAGTTCGATGAAATCTTCTTCAATAATTGACAGGGGGAAGTAACTGAACACGGAAACGTTGAGTGATAGCAAGTTCGGCATTCGCGTTCCAATGTTCTGGAAGAATAATCCGTATGGGACAGACCCCAGGTCTTCTTCTTCGAAAGCTGGGTTACGGAGTTTCATGTTGAGGTGCTTGATGTTGGGCTGCATGAGCGTGACGAAGTCCCGTAGGTGTGCTGTCCTCTTGGCAGCGAGAGATAGTCGGTTCAAGGAGGGAAATATGTTGAGGGAAGTGCGTGTTCGCGCGATGTCATCCCAAGCATTCGAGGAGAGAGTCGCTCGGCGATGAGAGCCAGTCCCCCCGGTGCATACTGCCAAAGAGCGGACCCGGGAGGCATAGCGATGAAATCTTGCCCAGTCAGACGGAGTTGGTGTACGATAGAATTCCTGGGTATGCCATTGGACGATGAGCGATGGCAGAACTGCTGAAAAAGGTGTATACGCACTAAAGCCAAAGACCCTGGCTCGGGCCCCGTTTTCAACGGGGCAAGATTCGAGAACAGTGCTAGGGGATCATCTACATCGTGCCAAAGCAGGTCGAGGGCGACTTCAGACCACTGCTTGTTGACGAGCAGGCAAGCGCAGATGTTGGGTCGTTCAAGGTAATCGAATATGGACGTTAGGAGCTCTGGGACGCACAAGGCGCGAGAGACGGCAGCCCATCGCATGATGGCAGAGAGAAGCGACAGCACAACTTGAATAACAATATGATGATAAGTTCACAAGATGAATATAAGTCAAGATTGTAGCGCCGGAGTAGATAAAGGCCTGTTTACAGTGGAACCGAACAAAGCCGTTCTCCGCCAGAGTCGATAGTAATCACGTGACCGTGGCGTTGACCGTTACACCGCCACAGTCCCTGGCTTCTCCGGCGGAAATTCGTCTTGGCCAGCTGCAGCGTCCGCTACAATCCGTATCTCGCATAGAGGGTGGTCTGCACGCAAGATATGGACTGAATGCTAACAAGTGCTCGGGAATCTTTTCAGATCAGGCTTTTATCGACGTTACGAACCTCGTTCGGAAAAACCTACAGAACCACGATCATCCCCAGATTAGATAACCAAAACCGGGCTTCAATAGACCGAGTCAGTAAATTTGTGGCAGCTCCCTTTACTCCTACCATGGCTCCCCTCACTCACCCCTCCATCGTAGGTAAGATAAAACTTGACTGGCATCCAGACATGAACGGCACTGATGCACCGAAGACGGCTGGTTCAGGGAGATCTCGTCTCAATGGCCGGGCCAGGCGATGACCCTCAAGGTTCGCAAGATCCTGCACGTCGAAAAGTCCCTTTACCAGGACGTACTCGTATTTGAGTCTGAGACGTACGGAAACGTTCTCGTCCTGGACGGTGTTATTCAGTGCACAGAACGTGATGAGTTCTCGTATGTCACCCCCATAATTCGCTCCGCATTCATTGCTCACGCCGTTCACTCCAGGTACCAGGAGATGATCACCCACATTCCCCTCGCAAGCCATCCTAACCCCAAGAAGGTGCTCGTCATCGGCGGTGGCGATGGCGGTGTCGTCCGTGAGGTTCTCAAGCACGAATCCGTGGACGAAGTCGTTCTATGCGACATCGACGAGACAGTCGTTCGCGTATCGAAGCAGTTCCTCCCGCATATGTCATCCCTCCTCTCGAACCCACGCGTCCGCGTGTTCATTGGCGACGGCTTCAAGTTCCTCCAAGAGAACACCTCCACTTACGACGCGATCATCACCGACTCGTCGGACCCCGTCGGCCCCGCCGAGGCGCTCTTCGAAAAGCCTTACTTCCAGCTTTTGCACGACGCGCTCGCTCCGGGCGGCCACATTTCAACCCAGGGGGAGTGCCTCTGGCTGCATCTCCCGCTGATCAAAGACCTCAACAAGATGACCCAGGGCCTGTTCCCCGTGGCTGAGTACGCGTTCACCACGATTCCGACCTACCCATCTGGCCAGATTGGCTTCGTTATCTGCTCCAAGGAAGCCGGGCGCGACCTTAAGACTCCTGTCCGCAAGGTAGAAGGAACCCGGTATTACAACGACGCCGTCCACCGCGCCGCGTTCGTCCTGCCGGAGTTCGGCCGCGCGATGCTGGAGGAGGGCGAGGATAAGGCGCCCAAGTTCGGACGGGCCGCGTTGGAGGCTGCTGCTGCCGGTAAGCCCAAGAAGAAGATCTTGCTCCTTGGCAGCGGCTTCGTCGCGGCTCCGTGCGCGGAATACCTTGCCCGGGATCCTTCGAATGAGCTCACTGTCGCGTGCCGCACGCTCAGCGCAGCCCAAGCGCTTTGCGATCCTCTGCCCGCTGGCTCGTCCACTCCCCGCTCTCTCGACGTTTCCGACACCGCCGCACTCGAGGAGGCTGTCGCTGCTCACGACGTTGTCATCTCGCTCATTCCTTACACCTTCCATGCTGCCGTGATCGAGGCCGCTATCAAGGGCAAAACACATGTCGTCACGACGAGCTACGTTAGCCCTGCCATGCGCGCCTTGGACGCCCGGGCGAAGGAGGCGGGTATCGTAGTCATGAACGAGGTTGGCCTTGACCCGGGTATCGACCATCTTTACGCGGTCAAGACCATCGGAGAGGTTCACGCGAAGGGTGGCAAGGTATGATCAGGAACTTCCCGTTATTCCTCATCATTCACTGATGGCTTGGCCAGGTCAAGCACTTCTACTCGTACTGCGGGGGCCTCCCCGCCCCCGAAGCCGCCAACAACCCCCTTGGCTATAAATTCTCCTGGTCTCCGCGGGGCGTCCTGCTTGCCCTGCTCAACAACGCCGCCTTCATCTCGAATTCGCAGAAGGTTACCATCTCCGGCAAAGAGCTCATGGCGGAGGCCAAGCCATACTACATCTCTCCGCCCTACGCGTTCGTTGCGTACCCCAACCGCGACTCGACGTCCTTCCGCGAATTCTACAACATCCCGGAGGCTGAGACATGCGTACGCGGCACGCTGCGGTACCAAGGCTTCCCCGAGTTCATCGCGGCGCTCGTGAAACTCGGCTGGCTCGACGAGGAGAAGAAGGACTGGCTGAACGAGAACCTCACTTGGGCGGAGGTGATGCAGAAGACCACCGGCGCGGCGGACGCGCAGGAGGCAACGCTCGTGGCGAAAATCAAGGAGCTGTGCTCGTTCCCGTCCGAGAGCGAGACGTCGCGCATCATCTCGGGCCTCCGCTGGATCGGTATGCTGTCGGCCGAGAAGATTAAACCCCGCGCAGGCACGCTCCTCGACACGCTGTGCGCACAGCTCGAGAAGCTCATGGCGTACGCTCCGGGCGAGCGTGACTTCATCATGCTCCAGCATAAGTTCATCGTTGAGTGGGCGGACGGGAAGGAGGACACGCTGACGTCCACCCTTGAGCTCTGCGGTTCCCCGAAGGGACATTCCGCAATGGCTCTTACCGTCGGCTTGCCCTGCGGCATTGCCACGCAGTTCGTGCTTGACGGTGTTTACAAGACCCCGGGCGTGCACGCTCCTTACACCAAGGAGATTTGCGACCCTCTCCGCGAGAAGATCGAGAGCGAGGGTTTGGGCATGGTTGAGCGGGTGCTCTGATTTTGTGTAACAACCAAAATGGCCAAGCGACGCGGAGCGTGATTATATCCTGCTTAGACGCTCGTGGCAACATGTATTGTAACTCTATATCCCACTCCCGGATGCCATGATCGGCATACTGTAGACGCATACCCTATTGTTACCCACGCCAGCAAGGGCCCAGGCGCTGGATGTCAGACATGCTTGTCTGGAACTGCGTACTTATGGTGCGCTCGCTTTCCTGTCCGCCTCTCCGTTGAACGCCATCATGGCTTTCCGGCCTGCGCCTTCACCAGACGATTCATTCCCAACGGAGACGTCCAAACTTCAGGCTGAGACGGAGGACATTCTGATCAAGCACCTCCCAACAGGGTCATCCAGCCCTCCCGTCTTGCAGCGCAATAGTCATTTGCAATTCCTCGTCCGCAACCTCGTTCAAGGATTCCCGGCTCCGTATACAAGCCAAGATGCAAGCCAACCCTGGCTGATGTATTGGACACTGCAAGGCTTCAGCACCCTTCAGGTCGCGCTCGATCCGGCCAACAAGCAGAAGTGCGTCGACGGAGTGATCCCGCGATGCAAATGGCGCGACTAACGTGCATACTAGAGTGATCGACACGGTCATGGCGTGGCAGCACCCCGACGGAGGCTTTGGAGGAGGTCCAGGTCAAGCCGCTCATTTACTACCGACATATGCGGCTGTATGCGCGCTTGCGATCGCTGGACGTCCTGGGCCTGGAGGAGGGTGGGATCAGATCAACCGGTGAGCATTCTGCGTATCGGGCTTAGATGAATCGCTGACCGGATTGCAGGAAGAAGATGTACGATTTCTTCATGTCGCTGAAACAACCAGACGGATCGTTCCTTGTCGCGCACCACGCAGAAGTCGATGTCCGGTGAGTAAACGATGAATTCTTAAGACGAGCGATGTCTGATTCACCCTCCAGGGGGATCTATTGCCTTCTCGTGGTTGCCCAACTCCTCGATCTCCTCACTCCCGAACTCGTTGCCGGCACCGCATCCTTCGTCGCATCGTGCCAGACGTACGAAGGCGGTTTCTCATCGGCTTCGCAACCATTCTACTCCAATACCTCACCATCCACACTTCTGCAATCACCAAGACCTCCGCTCGGTGAGGCTCATGGTGGGTATACCTTCTGCGCACTAGCCGCATGGACGATGCTTCAACCCTTCTCGAAGTTGGCGCCAGAGCCGAAGCCAAAGGTGGACATCAAGACGCTCGTGCGGTGGCTTACGCACATGCAAGGCAGCGAAGCGGAGCTTGGCGGGTTCAAGGGAAGGACAAACAAATTGGTGGACGGGTGCTACTCGTGGTGGGTAGGCGGCGCTTTCGGGCTGTTGGAAGCTTTGGGCGTTGGACAACCACACGAACATCACAAACCTTCAGAAGATGACGATGAGCAAGAGAACTGGGACGACGTTGATGGTGAGGGAGTTCCGTCATCACTGGCCTTGTCGAAGGTTCAATGAGGCATCCAGATTCTTTGTATAATCGGAAGGCATTACAAGAATACATCTTGTACGCCGGCCAGCATCCCGCAGGAGGATTGCGGGACAAGCCTCCGAAGTGCGTCTTTTGCCCGCGATCCCCAGCCCCTCCTAAACTATATTGCATAGGCAGTCTGACGCGTATCATACTCTCTCGTGCCTTGCTGGTTTGTCTTCGGCCCAGCATCGGATGGTTGTCTCTCAGGAACGGCGAGAGCAGCTGATCAGCGCGTGGACGCCATCTAGCGGAGGTACTGTCACGGTTCTTTGTTCCATTCGGTCAGGGTTGACCGAGCGGATGATACAGCGAGCTCGTTGCCTGATGGAATTCGCAAGGCCGTGTTCTTGGACGCCCTCTCCTGGGCTGAAGAAGAAGGCGGTTCGAAAGTCGTCGGTGGTGGTGTCAATCGCGTCGTGAGCATGTATTGTACTCTCTTGGGATTTCCAGCTGATACAGCTGCCGTTAGAACGCAACGCATCCCATATACAATCTGACGATGACCCATACGGAAGGGATCATGTCACACTTCTACGCACAACAGATTCCGCCACGGATAAAGAAGGCTTAACGACGATCTACGGTCCTTGAAGTCTTGAGGATTGCCAGGCAAGCCCGGCTTTTTCCCCCAGTCAGCGTGACACAACGCCACTACGTCATTGAAGAGAGCTACTCGATCGCTGCTGTACTCGCGAGAAGTATGTACCAGATTGTATATCGTGTCCACTCTGTAGGCAGCATTTACTTGCGAATTCCTACTGGAGACCACGCTCCGCATTCCTTCGATATTGCCATCGGATATATTCGCGTCGCGCTGTCTCATTCTACAGCGTTACCTCTTGTGCACACAGAAATCGTCTGTTGATTCCATCACTTACCTATAGCTGGAGCACCGTTGTACTAACCCATCGGGTGGCCCTCAATACTCCCTATACTTACCTTCAACATGCTTTCCTTGCTGAGTTCAGACGGCCATGTGTCTCTCGGCGGAGCACAGCCCGGGCTTGGACAACCGTTTCCTTCCGCACCTACATATGTTGTTCCGGCGCAGCCTTGGCGGAAGCACCCGGATTTGACGCGTCGGTCATGGGCTCGCCGACCTATGCGCCGCAACCATTCCGGTCCACTATGGGCCCACTTTGGGCCCACTAATCAGCGGCAACAATGACATTCACTTACATGATCATCAGTGATTGTCTCCCCCATACACTCCGGCATACTTTTTGTAATTTGCTTTTCGGCGTTACAACCCGCGGCTATCCATCCCCGCGTAGCGACAAAACAGGATAGGTGCACGTCCCGACGAGTACGTACGGATACCATCACCTGGGCAGACCCAGAATGCAAGCACCTCGTGACTCCCCGACGAGGAGCGTATATAGGAGCAACGCGTAGGGCGCTCTACCCCTCAGCGAACAGCTGAACCCAACATCAGATCTCAAGTTCTCAACATGCGTTTCTCTGCCGCCGGTGCTCTTGCTGCGACCTTCGCGCTCTTGTCCTGCGCTCAGGCCATCGACCTCCGTGAACTGTACACATTCCCGGGAGGCAACGGTTTGACGTTCTGCAAGGCTTGGAAGTGTGCATGGTATAGACATATCTGCCCGTCTGTAAAACCGTGGTATTGAATGTGTCTCGTTGTAGCATTAACTACACGCCATCCGACTCGACCCTGTCCTTTCAGGCTGCGTACTGCCATCCCGGCGACTACCAAGGGAAGAACAACAACACAGAAGTGCGTATAACATGACTTGTGTGTGATCCCTACTGACTGTCTTCCTCATATCTATCAGGCTCTTGCTTACTGCTCGTTCACTGCTGGCACAGCGCCGGTAGCCTTCAGCGACACGATCGCGTCGGAGCTTGGTGCTACCCCGACCACCTCCTAAAAGCACATGGACAATTGATGATGATTCACGGACATACGGACTACATACGCATACTACGCATGCACCTATCGATAATTGAATTGGGATACGAAGCTCTGGATATATGCCACAAGAAGATCAGTCTGAATTCCATCATCATAAACATTCGATTGCGTGTGGCGAATATGTTGGCACTGTTAATTGTCCAGTGTGCGGACTTGTCGTTTGGCCCGCGTCGTCGAGGGAAGTTCCATGCTCTTCGGCCTTGAACGCTTCCGTTGTCCGGCCGAAGAGCTTGGAGCAACCGACGGCTCAGGCCTACGATGCGTCTCTGAGATATTAGCACGTTCCGTGCTCGATATGGCCGACTGCCAGTCTCCATCCTGAGACAACGCAAGCCGTAAATTCGACAGATACGTCTGGGAAGGTGATTAAACACAAAAGCCAGTCCAGTGGTGAATAAGACGCGCCTGAAGCATGACCAGTAATCCTGCGGTGGTAACAGGTTTCGGGAGTACATCGTTCATACCGGAGGAAAGGTAGATCTCCCGGTCACTGGGCTCTGACGCGCTCGTCATTGCGATGATAGGAATCCTATGATTGAACTGGCGGATGAGTGATGTCACAGAGATACCGTCTCCCCTATGCATAACAATGTCCTGTAAGATTATGGGTGAGTAACAGATGAAGATTCCCTGCACTGCCTTGGGATTCCCTCACCATGAAGATGAGGTCGTAATCATTCTTGTCTATCCGAGAAATTGCACCAACACCGTCTTTGACAGCATCAACGATACATCCGAGGAGAGTGAGGCGTCTTTCCGTGATAGTCCTGTTCAAGATGCAATCGTCGACGAGTAGTATTCTAGGAGGAGTGGTCCAGGTAGGTTTCCCGTCTTGATGCAGACTAGATATCGCCACTTGATCGATGTCAGACTGATCGAGTTCGGGCGCCTTTGTCAAGGGACTGGCAGCCACGTCGATCCCTGTGACTCCGCCTGTACCAGGGATATCAAGGACAGTCGTCGAGAAGGCATCTGTATCAAACGCCAAGTCCGAGCTGACCGCTGTCTCTGAATCCGAATCCTGAGCGGGAGAAGGGATGTATTGGTCGATGGCCTCGTTATGGGTCATGTCCCGTCCTAGCAGGGAGATAACCATTTCGGCGGTCGGCCGTCGACCAGGCTCGACGGACCAGCATAGCTCGATTAACTTCCACCGACATGAAGGGACACGAATGTCCTTGGTGTCCGGATCTTGGGATGGATGCGTCGGTCGTTCTCCTTGCAAAACTCGATGTACGACGACGGCATCATAGATGATATACCAAAAGGGTGGTCTCCGAGTATAAATCTACGCATGCGTAAGCAGAGCAACAACGACAAACAACGCAAGTTACCTCAAGGAATACGCAGGCCAGGGAGTAAATATCTGTAGCAACGGTTCGCCGGAAGGAGCTCTCATCCTGGGAACTAGACTCCAGCAGTTCCTGCGCCATCCATCGATATGACCCTCGGCCATCCGTCGCACCGAGAGTGGCAGTAGAATTGGCCCAGGAGACCAAGCCAAAGTCGGCCAACAACGCGTGGTGTCCCTCACTGATCAGTATATTCGCCTTATACGTGTGTCAGACCAAGCGCTTGTTCTGGAGAACGAAGAGGCCGTACCCCTCGAAGATCACCATGAATAATGAACTGTGAATGCAGGTACGCCAACCCTTTGGTGATCTCCAGCATCTAACATATATCAGATTGGCAGATCGAACAGACGAATCGCAATGACCGCACCAATTTATCAACGGACGTGACCGTTGAATGAACCTCGAGGTATCGTAAAATATTTCCGAAGTCAATCCAAGGAGACACGAGACATAACCACGGAGGTTGCGTGTCGCGCTCTATGCCCAAAAAAGGTAGAACATTAGGGTGGTTGAGCTGCCGCCAAGGTAATGCCTCCCGACATAAGTTCTGGGCATCGTTCGTCAGCCCACCGTTCGACACCTTTGCAAGCGAGAAACTTGCCTTGTGGATCTGATGCCTTTGGTTATCCGTGGATGTATCAAGGACTCGCATGCGCTTGAGAGCCACTGTCTTGCCTTGGTATTTTGCTTGAAAGATGTCCGCGAAGCCGCCCATGGAGGTAGGATACATTCCGGGCTGCCCCACGCCGTTGACAAAGAGAGAAGGAGGCAGCAAATCCCATCTCGCCGATAGCCTTTCCAACATCTGAGTTGCCCGTCTGTGCGATGTGGCATCATACTGATGTGCGTCCAACGCCTAGATTGCTATTGTTCAGTATGATGCATGAGAGGTACGGAACTGAGCGTACGTTCTGCAGTTGGTCTAGGACGTCTTCGGCTTGCTTCTCCGATATCCCGCAACCGTCGTCAGCATATGTAAACACCGGAATGAGCGTCCTCAAGGTGATCACATCCTTAGCAGTGATCACTGCAAAGAGATCATGACTTCCGGGATAATATCGTCCAGTGCATAACAGTCTCACCTCTCTCGAAGGCAGCCTGTGACTTGACGGGTGCTGGGGAGGTCATGCTATAGCGGGGCGATTTGTGTGATAGACCAAACCTCCTTAAACCATATTGGATGGCTGCGGGATTCGGGGCACGAGTAGACACGGTCGCGCGGGCGTTATCGCTATTACAACACGTGTCGTAGGTTGAACAGCTTCTTTCATCCTGAGCGCCCATCGACCAGTTGGGCTGCTGCAACAATGGCATGGATTCCGACCTTGATTTGCGGTCTGGTTTTTTCTGATACGTAATGCGGGCGAAAGCGCCGAGCGGCATCTGCTAGAGGCATATGAGAGATAGACCGAGCCCAGAACATCTTTCCTTCTCATATGCGTAGTATGCCAGATGCCAACGAATAGCGGACCAGCTTCCGATGACCCGAATAAACGGTGCAGAAAGGCCAGGCCTCGCGCACGATCATCGCGTCCAACGAAGCTGCCAACTGCAGACACCTGCGGGACTACGCCTGAGTTATTCGTGCGCTGCTCGCTTTATCTATTATCCTTGGGTACGGGGAAGCCATCTTCCAGCTCCATCCACTATACAGCCGACTCGGCGTCATTGGGCCACCAACGACAAGCCAGTGTACTGAAACATGCGCGCAATGTGAGCGTATTCGGGAAACCGGTTAACGACAAAGCGTGTGAGGTCCTCCCGAGACGAAGCACCAACAAGTAGCGAGCGTTCCTTGCGAGGTCCAGACCCAAGACATGTCTAGACAACTCCATAGATTCTCGATCCGTCCAATGAGGGGGAATAGCGATAGAAAGGAGATCGCGGCTGTTGGCGAGGGAACCCGCAGTGCACGAAGAGTCGTCGGTGAAACTTGCCAACTTGCCTGGCATGCTTACGTAACATGAGCCGTATCAGGAAACGCTTCATCTCCATTATGTTCTTAGTACGTCGAGATAACCAACTACAGCCTAATGATAGCTCCGACTAGCACCAAGAAAGCAAGTAAACATCCGACACCTCGAAACCGTCAAGCTGTTTATGCGCTGCCAGTGAGGCCGCCAGTCGCGCCAGTCGCGGCAATGCGGGTGGTGGCATCAGCCTCGGTGGAACAGGTGATGGAAGTGCCTGCCGAGTTAACGAGGGGGAGGGCGAAGCACTGGGTTCCGCCGGCGCACTGGGTGGTAGCGAACTTGCCGCCGACGCACTGCGCGAACGCGCCGCCGACGCAGGCCTGGTCGCCGTCCGTGCAGGTGCTCGACGCGGTGAGAGAGGCGAATTTGGCGTTGAGTGCCTGCGCGTCTTTGCCGTTCTGGAGCGTGAACGGCTTAGCGCCCGCGGCAGCGCCGGTGGAAGCGGTCGCGGCGGTGGTGGCAACTGCAGCAGCAGAGGTGGTAGCAGCAGCCGCGGTGGTACCGGCAGCCGTGGTCGCAGCAGAGTCGTCAACGGCGGCAGACGACGATACCGCAACGGTGGTGGAGTTGGAGGAGGAAGAGGCGACGGTGGTGGAGTTGGCTGAGGCGGCACCACCAGCGGTGGGTACACCAGGGTCGGTCACGAGCGTGTTGAGCTGGACGCCGTCGGGGACAGGGCCGTCCGTCTTTGCAGGGCAAGAGCCGGGCGGGTTGACCGCGGAGACGCCGAGCGGCAAGTTCCCGGTCTGGTCACCAGAGAACTTGGTGAAATCAGAGCCGGCGAACTGGCAGTGGAAGAGGCCATTGAGCTCCGCATTCTTGGGTGCCGTCTGACAGTAAGGAACCTGGAGGCTATCCGGCTAGAAGCAGCAATGTCAGACCGGGCACGACCAGCGTGAAATCAAAAATACTAACCGCGTTGCGGGGCTGCTGCACGAAGAGCTGCGCCAGACGGATCATCTCCGGGTCGTTGTTTAGCTGCTTGGCCAGGTCGACCATCTGGTCAGCGGCATCCTGCTGATCGCAATTCTTGCCCGCAGCCTGTACAGACTGTAAACACGAAACTCCTCATCGTTCGAAGAAGCACATACCAAGAGGGTTTGGAACGCCGTCTGAGAGATCGTGTTACATTGGTCAGCACCACCAGCCTTCTGGCAGGCAGCAACCCAAGCCTGGGTCGAGTCGGAGATCGTCTGTGCGATACGCTTCTGGTGGGCGGTGGGCGCAGCAGTGACAGCAGCCACGGCGGCAGCGGCAGCGATGAGGGAGCGGATTTGGACCATTTTGACGAGGATTAGTGGGGTCGTAAGGTGAGGGGTTCGTAGATGTTACTATAGGGGCGTAGAAGGAAAAACTGGGAGCACCAGGCTCTGGAAGAAAGAGGGAGATTCGACGGTTGGGAGATGAGGTTCGACCTGCAGACATGTGTGCATCCGAATCGTTTATATACTTTGAAGGGGTGGCCTCGAATGGCCCGCGGCTAGTTGCAGTACTTGCTGGCCAAGCTGCCTGTCGCTTCCATCATTTTGGGGTCCGTCATCTCCGCGCAGGAGTCCTCTGACGCACAAAGAGCCGGAACGTTGCCATGGATCGGCTGACGGTCGTGGTGGGAACTCGATCCCGGATAGCTATGTGTGGCGCAGTATTGGGTATCGTAGCGAGCTCCGGCGTAGTCGGACTGTCTCAGTTGCATATCTATAGGATGCGCGTTACGTGCACAGAGGCACTTCCTACAGTAGATTTCGTGTCGACGAAGTGAAGCTGGTCGGAAGCAGCTGGCCAATCCTCGAACGGGCGATGAAGTCCACATGCAAACTGTCCTTGTTGGGGGTCAGATTTGCCGACTCCGATGCGCCGGTCGCCAGGGTTCCGTTGATCCTCTCGCTCATCCTCAGCAACTCAGCTCGCAACCAAATCTGGCGACTGCATGTACTATCCGCTCCTCTTTGATGATACTGTATCCTGGACATGGTCCGCTGGCGTGACTGTACAGCGTTGAATTTCCATATTACTGAGGTACAACGGGGTGGTTACGCCGCGCACAACCACGGAGCCCCTTGACTACAGAGGTGCATTCACGGGGCCATGCAAAGCACTCCAAGTGGACCGGCCAGGAAAGCGAATGTTCAACTTCGGTTTGTCTGTGAAGTCGTGGCCCAGAATATCTGTCTAGGGATGGACCAATCGGGTTGCTTATTGTGGATGTAAATGGGGTAAAATATAAAAGCACATCAACCACATCGCGCGCACAATGAATGCGTCAACGGAGAGCTCTGATATCGCAGTGTAACGGCTGTGCAACAGTGGTCGGCATTACCAGCTATGCTCGGGCCCGCAGTGCGCAAGCCCGAGACGGGCGCGGAACGAAACTCATGGTGCATGAAAGCAGGTCGCCGACCCCTGCACGAGCACCCTAGATCATGATCTTCTCAAAGTATAAACGCCCGGGATAGGACCGTCTTACTGGAAAGTCTTCCAAGAGGCCGCCCAGCTACGAGACGACGGGGGTCAGCAACGAGGGCTGTAATATGAACGAGAGAAACGCACTATGTGATAGTCCATGCCGCGGGATACATACTATTGCATCGCTCTCGGTTGAACGTCGAATGGTGTGGTGAGCAGACGCACTGTAAGAGACCATGTTCAGGATCAGCGGGATCTGTACAATATTGCCCAACAGCGTCGTGCCTTAGTCGAGAGGGGCGATGCATTCCAGTCAAACGGATATATCTAGTCCATGATTAGCATCGCCGAAATGTTCAGGCACGAATAAGCTCGCCTTTCCTTCCCGGAGCACCCTGAGTTGATCCCACTCACCGTTCGCTTCCCTACTCTCCCGTTCATCCTCCCACTCCAGTATAGCCTTTCGAAGCACCACGGGCCCCGTCACGGCCTCAGGGCCCACCTCGATCCCGATCGTCTTCTCGTTTTCGACACTGAGATGCGTCGAGTCTGCATCCCGGAGGTATTGCAGCACGGCATCCAGGGGTCTTAGCCAGAACGGGTGTCCCGGAGCACTGGACACCATCCACGCGTTTGGTATGGAATGCTCGAAGCTCTCGCGGCCCATGCGGCCTAGGTATGCCATTCGAAAAGGAGAGTCCGCCGGACTCGTACTTGAATTGGCCGTGGACGGCGAATGGGGGAATATAGCTGGCATGTTATCCGAGGTGGACCTTAGAGGTAGCATATCCAAATCTGCATACACCCCGCCGAACGCGTGCATGTACGCATTGCGGACCATATCGGCGCGATAAATCTCGCGAGGCAGCGCATCGTAGGCTGAGAGATAATGGGGATAGAAACGTCGCATCAGTTCTCGGTTGTCGAAGTCGGTCCAAAGAACGTATCTGCAAGAAGAAACACAAAATCAACTTTATGGTGCGAATAACACCGATGCGAACGTACAACCAGCCCTCTGAACTCGGGTGCAATCGTCTCCATTCGTAACTCCAGAGTTCGAAGTCCTCCGGAAGATTGTTATTCTTCCAACTTTGATGGATGATCTTGCTTCCTTGAAGCTCTGGATGCTCCTCAGCTTCAAGCATTGCCATGAGATCAGATGGAGTTATCGTCCTTGCCCAGGTTGCACTGGTATGTGTAATCGAGTCGTTATTTCCCCCTGACAGAGCATTGGAGGCGGGCGGGATACCAGCCAGTGCGATCCGAAGAGGACAATCTAGGGCGCCCCCATTCAACGGCCAAGCATGCGCCCAGAAGAAGACGAACGGTAGCATGAGAATGAGCAATAGCCAGAGATACTTGGCGTGTCGAAACCATGAATAGGGCGGCCACGTTATTGCTTCTCTGTCCCACTGGGCTCGGCGAAAGGTATCATATGGAGACCGCAGGGGTATATAACGCGTCGACTCCTTGGATACAACAAGTGTTGAGAGGAAATTAGATAGCATCGTCCGGAACCGTGAGGCCATCGGGCCCGGTAGAGCTAGCGACAGCTGCAAGGATGTAGAGGGGTGTCCTTATGAGGGATACGACTACATGGTGATGCATGTTGAAACCGCAGCGTGATGCTCGATGACCGTCTTCTCCGAGGTGTTACCATATGCATCAATGCATCAAGCTTGTGGCTATACGAACGAGCGTCGAAACGCTCCCCATTCGGACGAACTCGGGCGCTTTGAGCAGTATATACAGTATGTATCGTACCGTGAACCAGGAAACCCTGCGATGAGATCGAGAGCCACTGTAACATGATTGATCTTAACCAACTGCAGTAAGTTTTGATATGAACCGGGATCCGAATAACTGCAGATCGCCGCGATGGAAAGCTCTAGTAGAATGTTGTCAGACACATCACTGGAGATCGAGTAAAGGGTACAGAGCTGTAGTGTCTACAGAAATGTGTTGATCAACGATGATTAGGACGCCGTGAATAGAGCGTGGTTGTCATGCGTAGTTCATACGCCTCCGTCATAATACACTGTCTCAAGCACCCAATATCCTCTTTCCCCATTCCCACACCGCATAGCTGACCGCGGTCATAGGGACGACCTTCATATATCCGATGCTCAGCCCAACGTAGAATCCTCTCCAGCCTCCCTGGGCCCATACGGCTTTCACTGTCTCCCCCCATCTCATCCACCGATCTGGTCTCGTGAGCCCGCCAACTTGCATTCGCCGTCGTACGACCTCGAACGGGTACGACGCCGTCTGAGATATCGCGCCCGCCACAGCGCCAATACCCAAATCGTATAGCGGATAGAAGCGTGTGCGCTCTTTACCCTCTCGAGGATAAAGTAGATGGGAGCGCATGTACCCCCACGAGAGGAACGAGGTGCCAGCATATGGGATCATGCCAACGATTGTGACAGTGAAGCCTCGATAAAACTTGAGTACTGGGAAGCGCGCGAAAAGGTGCTTGGTGGTGGGTTTTGCCGTCGGAGCTGGATCTCCTTCATGATATATTTGTGCGACGGCAGACATGATGGAAGGGCGTAGTGGTTGCGTTCGTATTCGAGTTCCAGAGGATGAAGCTAACGATGCCAATGGTTCACCCGCAGCGGCGGATGTCGGAGGTATCCTCTGGTGACGAGTTTGGAACGCCATGCGAACGCGAATGAGCTCGAGTGGATATGTGAAGAATACGGAGATGCAACCTGCAATACACAAGGGTTTAGCCTTGGATGATCTGGAATCATGTACTAGGAGACAACAAGGAAAGGCCGAAGACCGACGAAACGGCCACGGCCACGGGCCCCCGGACGAACCGGATACGCACCGGAGATTGCACCTGCGGCAAACCGCCGCGCATTCGTTTCCTTCTCCCTCGCTGGCATGAGCACCTGATACATTGGCATTCATTCCGGGCCTTTTCATGAGGCAAACGATCACCGACTGACATGATGTACTTGGTCGTACGCCATGAACTTGATGGCAGCATAGGGGAATACTCGTGCTAAGGTAGCTGAGTGCCCCTGTAGTAGTCCCCTTACACCCTGCTCGTTGTATATAACCTTGCCGGCGCGGAACACGCCTGACCATGTTCCCGCATATCGCTGGAAGTCGGGGTTGGACGTCTGGAATAGAATCTTGACGCGGTCCAACGGAGCGATCACCGTCTTCGCCTACAACGCGGTTACGCATATCAGCAAACGTTTCGTGCAGCATAAATGCCAGCCCGCGTCCGAGATAAGGCCCGGCAACGAGTAGAGCATTGAGAGGAGACGTACGACACACCCAGCTATGCCGCCTGCAAGGCCTGAGCGGATGATATAATTCCAGTTCTTGTCCTGGCCATGCCCCGCTCGTGCTTTGCCTTTGTCGTGAACTGCAGGCACCATGCTAGTGCAGTCGACGACAGAGCGGGAGGCCGTGGGGCGGTGGAAGGGAAATGGGGAAGATTCAGGTGCTTATGCCGCTGCGCTCTCCCGGCTGAGCCTGGGGTTCCGTGAAATGATTGTGGTTAGGGTTGGGTAGCACACTGAGTTGCTCCGGAAGCTGCAGTGGCCATTGCAAGCTAAAAGCACTATGAACAGATCGCTGCGGTGGACCCGTTTTCAGGCCACATAGGCGCTCGTACAGGAAAACCGAGCCTAGTCACAAGGCTAGGATTGCCGATTTCAACACAACTGCTGATGTACAACAACAACCACAACATGGTCAATATCACCATAAACTCCCTCAGCTCTGCGTGCTCGGCGGTGGTTGTGGGCGCCCATCCACATAGCTCGGAGGCAGCTCGATGACGGTGCCCCCATCCATATGCCTGATGTATACTCTGCCCGCTAACAGCGGTCCCTGAGCCTCGCTAGGACTTTCCGTGATGGTGGACACCGACGACAGGCCCGATATAGCGGAGGTCGAGGACGGCGACACAAATTCTGGGCTGGACGCCGCGGATCCGCTACTTTCCCCTACGCTGTTCTCGGTTCTGAGCGTGCCAGCAGGTGCCATATCTTGAGTATTCTTCCTAGACCGCCGCGGGCTCGTCGAATTGTGTCTCGCTTGTTCCGCCGGCAACGGTGCTGCTGGCAACGGCGCAGACAAGCTTGAAGCTCGTGGCATGGCAGGAACGATCGACGACGGAGCAGATGGTATATGAGCGATGTCTATGTCTGATGGATTGAGTCAGTGGATGATATACTAAAGCGTAACGTCGCGTACTCAAAGGTACCACTGGTCTTTGCCCTTCCTCCAGAACACTGAACTCTTTCTTCTCGAACGAGCTGAATAGAGAAGGCTTGGGCATAGCCCGATGAGACCTGTACACAGATAGAGCCGTCATGGATGTTACGCCCAGCAGCACACCCGCGACCAGGGACCCTATTACGGCGCCCGCGATCTTGCCTCCATTTGAAGGGCTGTTGGATAGCGGTGAGTCAGCAATGTACACTGACGGGAGGTCGGCTTACCCTGAAGGACCACGAGCAAAGCATTTCGTCGTCCCGGGTCCTCCTGCATGCAGAGGTCCAGCAGTGTATGTCCGGCCGTCCGCATCGGCTAGAAGAAGGAAGAACGGCGTAGCCCAATCCTATAGATAAGATACCACGATTGTGTGGGAATAATTATCACGTTTCAGCACCAGTCGACATATGTATGTTGGAGCGCTGACCAAGTCTACGGTCCAATTGATGGGGCCACTTGTCTCGCTGGTGATGTTGATAGGAGGACGCAAAGCAGGGGCGATCTGTCAAAAAGTACGACCAACAATAATCAAAGATAGCAATCGAGCGAAATCATAGCTTACTGTTAGCGTGAAAGGCGGCGTCCCTTCATTGGGCGTCACAGTCAGCGTGTCGCACTGAGACAGCGGGATCAGGATAACGGCTATATCCTGAGAGGCACTGGTTGGCTGACCTGAGGCGGGTTGAAGGCATAGCGGCTCAATTCGGTACCGTCGCCCTGGGTCATGGTTACGTTCAGGGGTTTTGGAAACGTAACGTTGGTGCAGGTCGGCGCAAGACCAGTGGATTGATCTACGCGGACTCGACTGAGTGAATGATCCATCGGAAGTCTATATCCAGAGCGCACCTATGGTTGGATAGACAGTATACACCGCCTGGCATCCACCTGTATTGCCGCGGGAGTCGAACATGCACACCTGATACTGAGTCGAGGGGCCAAACGGTATTGTAAGGTCCTAATGAAGGATTCCAGGCTGAGTCAGTCGATCCAAAGGGGCGAGCGACCATCACTCACGAACTCAAGAGCACTTCCCGCATCAATAACCAGGGGGGATTGCTCATTCGACGAGAAGACCAGCATCGAGTAGGGGGCAATCGGGTCAGGACCAGTCATCGAGTCGCGTCCCCAAGCGACGTGCAACGTCTCGCATTGGGCGGTGATCGGATTGGGCAGAGCTAGTTGGCTGTCCCAGCTGAAGAGCCATGACTACATTGGCCGGTCAGATGTGTGCTAGCCAACAGCCAGCAGCAAGCGACGTACCAGTTCGAGTTGTTTTTGTGTAACTTTGCCACCGCGGGCACAAGCAGTGAAGCCTCCGAGAACCCACACAAATCCGAAAAGCGAGAGGAAGGAATACATGATCGCTGTCCAGGAGGCGTGAAACCGCGGCGTAACCCAGCAAAGAAGTTTAGCAGAGCGAAAGCCAGGAAAGAGCGTCTAGCCCCCGGGACAACGCTTCAAGAACGCGCCTATGGAACAGAATAGTGAAAAGGCACCCGGCCTCTGAAGGAGATTCAGCGCTGTAGAGGACTGTCCCTGTATAAAACCCGCCTGTCGTACCTGTGGTGATGTTGACTTCATGACGACCATCAGGACGTAGATCATAGGTCGCAGTTCAGGACTTAATGAACCGTGGATGTGAGCTAGGCTCCGGGATATAGACCCCGGTGGCCCCGGCCGAAGTCCTCACGCTCCGCAATCAGTTCAACATTGACGTGAGGATGGGAATATCGGAATAACTCGCAAGGGATTTCTGAGCTATCATGTCCCGCCGTTCGCGATTTGTGAACATGTGGATCGCGATTCGCAAGAAAACGTGGAGGTCTGGAATACGCCTTAGTCACGAAGCCGGGAGCCCAGGATTGCGAGACATGTCTATCGCGTCGCGCGTAGTCGCCGTATCATAGGTTGGTCGCAGCGACACGGTAGAGAAGATAGTCTGAGATCACCTGTAGCGGGCATCAACCAATTTTACTGGCTCAAGAAAGTATGGCCTGATGGCGTCCGGATAAGGGGGCCAGGTAGGTAGGTATATCTCCGGCGCGGTCCCAATATAATAGCGGAACAACCGGTGTCGCATCGCACGCCAATACGTGCCGCTTCGCGCACACAGTGCATCCACGGTTCCCGTGAGCTGTATAACAACCGCGCGAGTAACTATATGCTACTATGTGCAGAACTGATGGTCTAACTCTAGCACTCTACTTCTGAAACGCCATGCTGATATCTATACAGTCGAGCCTTTACCTGTGAAGCCCTGAAACAACGAACATCTGTTAAAAGTACCGTCGCCTGATCTTGTCTCCGGTATCTCCCAGCCCGTATAATTAGTAAGCATTGCTCACCGTGGCTGTGTTTGTAAGTTTAATCCCCGACTTAGGCCCCGTTCGGTTGGGGTTGATTCTGCCCTGATTCTGCCTTGATTCTGGCAGTTCGTGACTTTTGTCCTCCTCATATGGCAAGCCCCTGTTCTATTATGTTAGGTTTGTCTCACGATCTTAGGGCCTGTTCGGCAGCAGGTCCAAGCTGAACGCCGTTCAACGTTCAGCCCCGGTCAAAAGTCGCACGGCGCGGAACGGCGGAGAACTGCGATGAGCAGCGTGGAGCGGTGCACGCAAATTCCGCCGCTGAGCGCTGCCTCGAGCACGCTGGCGCCGGAAAAGCGAAATAAGAAAGTGTCTACAGCGGCGCTGTGCAGTGTGGTGTGGCGCAGAGCAGCGCGAAATGGCGGCAGCCCACGTAGACGACCTCCGCCAATATGCGCCTGTTCGCGCCTCTCGATTATTTCACCATATATTATTATAATGCGCATATATTGCAATGTACAATATATGCTATACGATTACCGGGCTACAAACAGTGCACAGTGTGACAACAAAGGGTACTTACCCACTTCGATATCGTCCCCGGAAGTGTCTGAAGCCGCGCCTTCATCGACACGACTCGTGCGGGCTGGGGTGCATCCGTACATGCAAACCGTTGTGCGATATCTGTGATTTACGCCTTATGGGATGCCCAGCCCGCGGAGAAAAGCCTGTGGCAAAGGCAAACGTGAGGAGGTAAGTGGAATGGAACATAATAGGCACGTACGACATGCTGGTGTTGTTCCTTGCAGCATTAGTGCGATCCAGGGCGGCGAGAAGCTGTGTATATGCATATATGTGGAAAACCTGGGATGTATGAGTTTTACAACCCGAGGGGAGTACCTGCTTGACTTGCTGACCTAGGCCCCAAGAGATGAGCACATATAAGGGACCAAAAGACATGTACTCACTATGCACTAATATTTGTGATCTAAGGATCACGAATCCAACGCCGTGTATCCATGGGAGTTCCCTGGCTATTCAATTAATCTGCGTGAAGTAGGCTTCAGTAAATTGGTGCATATGAGCGGCATGAAGTCTTCTTGGGCAAGCACAGGCACCTTGGTAAACACGACAATCTTCTCTCACATGCACCCTATAAGCCATGGGTCAATAGAGGGAAGAGCATGTTACCATGGTTACAAACCGTCACATAGAGCCGATAGTTGCCAGAAGGGGATGCATGTGGTCGAGGACAAAGAGGCGATTGGAGTTCGTCGACTCTTCCGACTCTCAGAAGAGAAAGAAAAAAAACCGGACACGTGATCAGGCGAGATTCCTTGTCGTAGTTTGAATACTGTACAGTTGCAGAGAGTAGATTGAAAGAGTACGAGAACCGAGAAGCTCAGAGCGAGGAGATAACGGACATTGTACCAAAGAGTAGAGGGCCGCACCTAATCGGGAACTCCGAACGCGCCCTCGCATTACCGCGCCTTTCTGCGCCGGCGAAATAATCACATTGCCGCCCTGCGCTATCCACCGCCGACTCACGCCGTGCGACTTTTGACCGGGGTTCAGCGCTGAAAAGCTGATAATCGCGCAGTGCCACGTGCACACGTTATATGCGTGGGAGTCACACACCACCAGCCGGTGTGGCACAACGATGGTATTCATACCGATTTGCGGATGATGTTTTGCTAACACTCCAAGAAAAATTGGCTGAGTAGTCTACTCCAGCCACTATATATGATACTGTATTTTTTTCCGGAGTTTAAACTCCCGTGTTGGGATAATCTCGGTGTTGTTACCAGAAAAAGATATTCCGCTAGAAGATACCAGTGCTTCAGTGCTCAAAAAATATTGATAAAATACAGAGACAGAGCCTATATTTATCCAAATATATAGTATGGGAGTTTGGAGCATGTAGATTTAATGCAGTCAGAATGCAGTCAGAAATTGACAGCCAAACGGCGCAACATGTGTGACTGACGGTGACGGTCACCGTGGGTCACATTGCGATTATCATCTTTTCAGCGCTGAATGGCATTCAGCGCTGATTGCACCTGCTACCGAACAGGCCATTATTGTTTATGGTATGCGTGCGGAGTCAAATCATCTGATTCTTCCAGGATCAGGCGTCGCCGAACGGGCCTTATAGTTCTCCGACTTGAAACGGTAAAACGGTAAACATACATCGTAGATTCTACGCAAACTTTACTGAGTATGTTCATGGTTTGTTGTACTACGGCGGTGCAAGCGAAGGTGGATCGGCGGGACCCCGCCCTCTCCTCAGCCCTGTGCCCTTTGCAGGAAAGTACCACCCCTGAAACGCTAATGCTAAGCCCGGACAATATATACCCTGGTATGACATGCTAGCCATCGATGTGGGCAACCGTAGCCTTCATATGTATCCGTAGCTGCCTTGGAAATCTGTTTTCTATATCTTCTGGCTCATCTCATTGAGCCTGTTCGTCAATCGCGCGCTATACATGGTGACTGTTAATCAAGCCATATTCGGGCCACTCTGGTCTCCATTGAACGGATTGTTTAATCGTGGCCGTCGAAGACCGCGATCTCTGTGTTCATAACATTTCGTTGTCCATCATGGCATTATCCTCATCCCTTCCTTCAAGACTATTATTCATCTTCGCGTTGGGCCTTGTCTATAGTTAGGGTACCCTAGTTGCTCCCGGCCGCGGATCCCACTGCATATGCCCCTGGATGCGACAACTGGCAGTTGACATGAGTTCGTGATATTGTCCGGGCCCGCCGTCCACCGTATGGCATATGTTACCGTATTTCACGATATTGGGGAGCTATCGTCCGATCCGTGCGTTCTTTGACCTACCAGCTGTACCAATCCCTGGAATGTTTCAGCACCGTTCGCAGGAGCATTAGCTATGGACGTCAAGGAACTCTTACGTTGACAAGGCTTGCAGTGCAGTCTTTATTCGCGCAACCAACAGGTATTGATGAATGGAACCAAGAATCTACTCCCTACATCACTACCTTCCTTCTCTAATGAGATGAATTGAACGAGTGTGAAAATCATAGTAACCGGTCTGCCGAGGAGAGGGGCCAAAAACAGATTTAGAGTAGATTATTCATACTTCGCTTGGACTCTCGCCATCACCGCCCTTCTTCCACATATGCTCCCAAGCCCTCCCCATCGCGTTCCTCGCAAACACCCAAGGATCGCTCGAACCCGCCTTCTCCAGCAGCTTCGACGCGAACTCCTTCTGCGAGCCATCTGACAAGCTCTTCTGGAACAACTCCAGCACCTTCCCCGTCGGTTTCAGAACGTTGCCCAGCTGCGCATGTATGGCGGGGAATGGAGAAGGCGGAGGTAGCGCCACCAGAATGGACTGCCCGACCGAGATCGGGTAGGGTATCCCGTTTTGATGTGCCGTCCACATCTCGTCCTGCAGCCGCTGTTCCTCCGGGTTCGAGTTGACCGAGAAGGGTGCGGTCGTCGGGTCCCGCGGCAGCGGGACGCCATTGTGGCGTGCCCACTCTTCGTTCCTACGCAGTTTGTAGCACTCCCAGTCGTGCTCCGACTGGAGCGGCATCGACATCTTGTCCATGCGCTCCAGCGCCGCCCACTTGCTCTTACTTGCCCAAATGTACCAACCTGCCTTCCAATACTTCGTCTCAGGCGGCTTGTCCCCTGTAGACGATGCGAGCCTCGCTGGAATGTGCGCGTGCTCGTCATCGCCGAAATCCCCGTCGTCGAGCCCGTGCGCTAATCGGCCGATGACGGTGCCTTCGAGGACGGCGCTGGGATCCTGGCCTTCGGGTGGGAGTGGTATCTTCAATTCTTCGGTTGCAGCGTTGTTTGGCATCGCTTTGCCCATGGGGAAGGTGTAGGTGGTCAGGACGCGACGGACTTCGTGCTCGAATACACGGCGGATGCATATAGAACGACACCAAGGTTCCTTCTGTTCGGTTCTCCCGCGGATGGATTGCGAGCAGTAGGTTATGCACCGTTCATCGGCGTGTGGGGAATATTGAGCTGCGATAGAGAAAGTGTAGTGAATACGCTGCACATAGGAAGTAGAGGAGAGAACATACGTTTTGGTGGTTTGAGAATGTAGATGGAGGGGATGTAGGATTGCTGTGGGACACGGGACGACTGACCAGGTTTCCTCGGATCTGAATCCCCCGAGTGACCATGACGTGACGGTGCCGGGGACGACATGGGTGTAGGGATCGGTAGCACTTGAGCGATGTAGAAATCTATCAGGTCAAGCGCAATGATGATCTACTGGCGGAGTCAGCTTCTGCTATATCCACCTCAGTATGTGTTGCATTTGCACATACCGGGCACCATAGGGTACACCAAGTGTCGACGATACTACAGTGCGATGAAAGGCCCGATGAGGACAAGGTACCCTAGTTGAGAGTGGCGTTGATCCGCTGTTGCTTTCGAGCCTCAAACTTCAGGGTGGATGTTGGAAGTAGCGTATGACTGGTAAGCACAGAAACGTTGTCGGATTGAATGAGGACGAGTTGTACTACTGACGAGTGGCGCCTCGCGTACACGCGTAAGCAATGTTCACGTGCCCCGGAACCGGGCGTTGTCACTGTCAGTGTCACTGTGTGCCGGGCTGTGCCGGGGTGCGCGTGCAGCTGTCACTCAGCCAGAAGGCCCCGTAAACGAGCTCGCTATCGTTGTACACACTGGAGACATCAAATGCAAACGATTCAGCTGTACGACCATAGCCGATTATCCGTCAACGTCGTGGCAATCGACCTGTGCACCAACTTGTGCCGCGCGGAGCTGCAGTATGTGGCTGGCCGTGCTCGTCGTGCGCATCTGCATCTGATATACTGTATAGACGTGGAGGTGCCCCATGCTGCACCGGGCCGCGAGCATCCGGTTCGCACTGGTCGAAGCGGTGTGTTGGCTCATAGAGCGGACGGGAACCGTGTAGACCAGGGTGTCCCGGCTCGCCACTAGTGCGAGGCCCTGGGGCCCGGCTGTTCCGGTATTGGGACCGCGCCGGTTAATACTACCTACCTACCTACCTACCTAACTTTGCGCCTGAGATCCGGGCAGCCAGGTTGAGCCCGGACGCGGCTTCAAGCTTCAAGCTTCATCAAGCATTCGATGTGGAGGATAACATGACTCGTAGCCGCGGGACCAACGTAGCGACATATGAATGGCGCAAGGAGGCACAACGCGGCAACCCGGTTAGGCATACCATATGCCGATCTCCCAACGGCTCGTCCCGCTGCTCCGACTTCCATATGCATATATGCACACGCATCGTTAAGCGGTCCGGAAGGACTTGCGTCGTCTATCTCCACACAGCGCGCCCGTTGGTCACTGTAAGTCGCTTGCCAGGAACTCGGCGGTGCACCCTCGAAGAGTACGTATTCAGTGTCAAGTGCATCGTGTCTTGCCCTATCTCGAATATGGTGGAATGGGGGCTTCTGATGGATCCGAAGATACTCCTGTTCGATCGTCGGGCGTTCAAGAGCTCAGTAGCTTGGTCGAAGAGCGTAGATGACGGTCCCGGTCATTCTTGCCTACCGTTATACTCGTCTCCGAGCTTCTGCTCGGCTTTGCAGCGCGTTTAGGGTATTTCCTAGCGACTGTTTCCCATGAATCCTTGCAGGTTTGGACGAGGCAGAACTTTTTCAACACGATTGGCCCGTCAACTAGAAACGCGGTAAGTCGATCAGCTTTCCTAGTATCGGACGGACATGGCCGCGAAGGCTAATTTGCTCCGGACTTGATGATATGTAAATAGTGCGGTTGGGCGACCTTCGCGGGGCGCTCTGATGTATCTTCGGCCCTTATTGTGCGTAGCATGAAATTTACAAACCTTCTTTCGCTCCCAGACGTGAAGGCACGTTTCTTATCTTGATGTTGGTGGAACAGCATCTAATATTGTTGTATGTAACTAGCGTCCTGCCGGAGCCTTGCCCGCCGTCATCGATGGCTACGCTACGGCCCAAGCGCCCCGGACCGCTTCGCGGCAAGAACGTGCAGTGATATCCGGGGCCCCGCCCCCATAACGGATGCCCCGGACCGCGGCGGTCCGAGTGCGGGGCAGCGTCGTGCCTGGTTTTAGTTGATCGGTTCGCTTCCGTAAGAACATTCGTCCGTGGCCGGTGGTCACCCTCTGGCTATAAAGCTCCGGGTCATGCGTGAATCGAATCCAGGTACCTCTACCTTCCCCCGTCTCGCTTCGTTCAACCGCCGGCGACAAGGATGGCAGCAATCAACCTCCAGAACATCCGGGTCTACTGTACGTCGTTACTCTCCTGTCTCGCAAGATCCGGGCTGGGTTGCTGACTGGCTCGCGCCATAGGGCTCGCTTTCGTCGCCTACTGGGGCATCATCCTTTTCGGCTATGACACCGGTATCGCGGGTGGTGTCGTTTCTCAGAAGTTCTTCGAGCAGGAGTTCGATATGTTGAATCCCGACCTCACGCCGAACACGAAGAAGACTAACGAGGTTTCTTCCAACGTCGTCTCGGTCCTCCAGGGTGGCGCTTTCTTCGGTGCAATCCTGTCGGCTCCCATCTCCGCTAAGATTGGCCGCAAGTGGACGCTCGTCGCGTTCTCCGTTATCTTCATGGTCGGCGCGGTGAGTCCCTCAAATCCTGCCTGCAACCTTTGCGCTCATAGCGTATCAGATCCTCACCACCGTCGCGGGGGGTGGAAGCCACGGGCTGAAACTCATCTACGCCGGCCGTGTTATCTCCGGTTTCGGAATCGGCGCGATCTCCGCGGTTTCCCCTGCCTACGTCTCGGAATGCTCTCCGAAGGACGTTCGTGGCCGAATCACCGGTCTTTTCCAGATCATGGTGGCAGTAGGTGTCATGGTCTCGTACTTCTTGAACTGTACGTCGCACGACAGCTTGATTGATTGAGTTGCGTGACTAAGATAAACACTGTAGACGGTATCTCCCTCAACGACAAGTTGAAGGCTTCTCCGCTTGTGTGGCGTGTTCCCTTTGGCTTCCAGCTCGTCCCCGCCGGCATCATGTGCTTGGGCCTCCTCACCGTTGCAGAGTCACCGCGTTGGCTGGCGTCTGTTGACCGAAACGAAGAGGCTTTGGCCAACCTTGCTTACCTGCGCAAGCTCCATCCCGAGGACCCGGCCGTGCGCCACGAGATGTCCGAGATCGAGGCTGCTATCATGGAGGAACGTGAGGCTCGCAAGGGCCTCGGTCTCAAGGAGGCATTCCTGGGCAAAGGCAACTTCATCCGTTTCGTGATTGCATTCGTCATCTTCACGCTTCAACAATGGTCGGGGCAGAATTCCGTGGGCTACTATGCCCCCCAGATCTTCAAGGCCATCGGTTACACCGGTACCACGCCCTCGCTCCTCGCCTCTGGTATTTACGGCGTTGTGAAGTTGGTTGCCACCGCTCTCTTCGTCTTCTTCTTTGTTGAATGGCTCGGGCGCAAGCTCTCGCTCTTCATCTCCGCATTGGGCATGGGTATATTCTTCTTCATCATTGGCGCGATTCTCAAGACGCACCCGCCTCCGGCTTCGTACACCGGCGCAGTGCCCCAGGCCAGTCAAGCGATGGCCGGCATGATCTACATCTACGTGCTCTTTTATTCCCTGGGATGGGGCCCTTTGCCTTGGGTGTATGTTGCCGATATCTTCCCCACTCGCACTCGGCACTACGGTCTGGCTACCGCCAGCTGCACCCAATGGTTATGGAGTACGTACTTTCCCTCAATATAAGGCATATATGATATTTACCCGCATTTCGTAAACAGACTTCGTCGTCTCTAAGGAGACCCCGACCATCATCACTAACCTGGGCTACAAGGTCTTCTTCATGTTCGGCACGATCAACATCCTTGGTATGGGCGTCTTCTCGCTCCTCATTCCTGAGACCAAGGGCCGCTCCCTCGAAGAGATGGACGTCATCTTCGGCTCCGTTTCGCAGCAGCAGCGTGACCGGGACGTCGAAAAGTACGAGCGCGAGATCGCGCACGAGCAGAACGACACGACCAGTCAGCGGAGCATCGAGAACAAGGCCTGAGCACTAGTCGGCACTCCGTCTATCCCGCTCCCTCAACGCTGTCCGCTGCGGCGATGACGCGAGAGCGCGACCTAGACACGCTGGCGTCCCTCGAGTCTCTCCCGACGCTGTCGTACTTCCTCCGTGGTCCTACCCCTGGGCAATATCTCGCAACCCCCGCAATTGCGTTTCTTTCGCCGTGATCCATGGAGAATTTGCCCGTTATGCTACTGTAACCATTGCTGTTTGATATCCCATCACACTATCGTACTCGTTGATTTACTGAACGCATCTGTATTATATCATGAAAACTCACGAGTTGCACGGGCTATACGTGGTCAAAAGCTAGCTCCCATCGTTCAGAAATTCACTACGTAAACTAGGACAGACGCAGACAACATTTCACCACCCTAATCAAAGGATTCGTGTTCAGTGCCAATTTCTATCCTTGCTTTTCCCCATTCGTCGTCAATAGCAGGTGCTCGATGATATCATGGAGTGAATATCGATCATCCAGGAACTTGATGGGCACCTATTGAAGATGAGATGAGTCAGATCTGACGCCGTCCGTGTATGCAGGCGGCTCAGCTCACCTCCACGCTCAGTGCCTCAACCAGAGCGCCCCGTATCTGGGCGAACGCGATGGAATCGACACCGTAGGACCCGAGACTGCAGCCCCAGTCTTTGCAGACAGATTGATAACTGAGCGATCCTCGCTTGTAATAGATAGCTCACCTGGTTCATCATTGCTCGATCCGAGGCACTGGTCCAAGCTGGACCAGAGTGCCTTCTGTATAGCCTCCTTCGTGATGTCTTCCTTCCTTAACCCAATGCGAGTCGTCTGAACGTCCTTCAACACCTCATCCCACAATGAATCACTGTCAGCTACTCCATCTGTTGCAAGCTGCTGTAGATCGAGCTTCGCAATCCCTTGCACCGCCATCGTCCCGTCCGGTGTGCCATTATTGGATTGCGCTCGGGTGATGATCTGAAGGACGATAGGAATGCCCTCTTCGTGTGTCACCAGTTTCACTGCCGCCTTTTCGAAACTCATGTTTGCTGTGAGCTGCGACTCCCAGGCACCGAGTTGTAGTGACAGTCCAGGAAGGCCCATGCTGTTGCGGTACGCGGCCAACGAGTCCATGAAGGAGTTCGCCGCTACATACGATAGTTGCCCTGCGGTTCCAAGTGGAACGCTGCAATCAAGCTTTCGTCAGTGCCTGCTTCAAGCTACGGTGGCAGACACTGACCTGATGCTACTCAACAATACGAATGATTTCACGTCTAACTTGGCATTAAGGCTCGCTACATGCAGGTTCCATGCGCCTTGAACCTTGGGGAAGATCACACCCTCGAAATGCTCCCTGCTGATACTAGGGATGGTTGAATCCCTGACGGTGCCAGCGGTATGTATAATCGAGTTGATAGGCCCGAAACGCTCTGAATTCTGCAGATCCTTAAGTGTGTTGGTTAAAGCAGCAACGTCTGCCAGATCTGCCTGAATGTATTGCACTTTGTGCGGGTGGCCAATATCGTGCAGCATCCTTTGAATCTGCACATCATCAAGCTTTAGTATGAGCATGAAAGGTATGACTGGTACTGACTACTCGGTCACTCTCCGCTCGCCTGCCGAGAACGAAAATTCCGGAGGGCGCATCCACCGTCTCCTTCACTATTTCCGTCGCTAGCGCGAGGCCAATGCTTCCTGAACCCGTGATTATCGTACCGCCCGTCCCAAGTTTTCGTTGTTCTGAGGGGACTGGCCAGATGGGTGAAAGAACGGGACGCCGCCTCGTCCAGGAGTTGTTCTCTGCGCTTCGCCTATACACGACTAAGGAGTCACGTATTCCGGAAGTTGTGTTCAGCCTGGCGGAAACCTCGTTCCGTATATGGTAATCCAGCTCTTTGATCACGGCCGCGTCTAGGTTGGCAGGAATATCGATTCCCCACGCTACTCTGGCGTCCAAGCCAAGCTCGCGACGCAGAACACGAACCATGCCCTGAACGGCGCTCCCGCCCAACGGTATATCATTGTCGTCGGAAAGAATGTGAGGTGCTTGCGATGGGAGACTATCCGGCCTAGGGGTCTGCTCCTCGGTGTACGCACATTCAGAGGAGATAACAACGACACCTCGAATCTGAATGAGACCTTTCGATACCAACTTCAGCAGCTGCAAAACGCTGACCCATGTCGTGACCAAAACCCCGTATTTTGATGGCTCGCATAGGCTTGTCATGTCCAGAACCACTAATGGCTGCTTCGACGCGAATTTGGATATCAGGTTCTCCTCGGTACAGGGCATTGCATGCATTTCGTGAGCTTGTTCTTCAAGTATGCGCCATCCTTGGGAACCCCAAGGGCGGTCCGTTATGGGAGAAATAACCACCGGCATCCAAGTAGACATTAAGCCAGTCGTGGACGGGCGACATTCTCCGGGTGACGTGGTCGGACGATAAATGAGAACATCAAAAGATGGGCTTCTTGCATGGTGATTGATATCCGTCGAGCTCGATGCAAGTGAATCGGTGTCGAATCTATACCGCCAGTTGAACATTCTAGGCTGCATCGATCCATTACCCAAAGGCGGATGAATTGCGCTTGAGGGTATCCAGGCGACCTTGTATGATTGGCATGAAACAAGGACCTCGCCTTCCATCGAGAGTACCTCGAAAGATGTAGACATCACTTTGTACTTCCTTTCGGTGGAAATCGGAAGCCTATAGCGGCAAATGAATTCTGCAGGCAGTGACCTCCCGTTCATCTTGAAACCTTCTACGGAAGATGGGAGGAACGCGCCCTCATTACCGTCGACACCAGGTGGAAACTCGGTCGTCAATGCTCCAAAGAAATGGAAACAGGCGTCAAGTTGGCGAATCAGGTCAGATGTGGCATCTCCTGAGGGATGTATCGTGACGTGAGCTTCTGCACGGTCGCTCCAAATTCTTCCGTCCTGGATGCTGCTGAACAAGTTTCCAAACTGTGTTTCGCGGAAGTTCGAGTATATTTGCTTTTTGTTCAAGATGCGAGCAGGACTGGTGGTTGCTGGCTGCCCATTGCGCCGGTTATATGGACTTTCGGATATCTCGCCAGCGAAACCTGAACATATAACGTCGTCCGATTGCCGCGTGGTGACGGAGACGGAACCATTCGTTGCGAATAGCATTAGCACCGCGTCACCGACCTGCTCCACAATCATGGGCTTATGAAACTGCAGAGATTTGAGCGCCATCGCTGGATTATGAGGTGATAAAGCGAGTAAAGCAACAAGCGCCGCCCCGGGCAACACCCGTCGACCCTGTATGCGATGATCGTCTAGTAGTTCGTAGAGGCCAGCGTCGATGGTCCTATCATCGCTCAGGCTAGTCGGGACGGGCAAGGTGGTGAATTGCCCGTGTCCATTGCGCGATGGCCGCACAGATGGATAGAACCACTTCTTTTGCCATGAGTACGTAGGCAACTCGGTCTTCAAATATGCGACACCGCGTTCCGAGTAGAGACGCGCGAAGTCCACATCCACGCCTTGTTGATGTAAGACCGCGAGCGCCCTCAGCATTGCAAATGTCTGGTCCTTGCCCTCTTTGGCGCAGGATCCAATGACCATCTTGTCCGCAGAAATTGAGTCCAGCGTGGAAGAAGACGCGAGTATGAATGGTTGTGGGCCGACGTCAACCAGAACAGTTGGAGCGGATGCTTTTCGCAGAGCTCTGAAGGCGTCACTGAAGCGCACAGGTTGTGCAGCATGGTTGACCTATGAGACGTGAATATATGCGCTACACGTCGGTTTTCGTCGACTCACCCAAAATTCTGTATCGAGCCTCTGATCATGACCGACAAGGCCCCCTAAGTAAGACGAATAATATGGAATCGAGGGCGATCCCAGTTCAGCCTCATGATTCGCTAGCCACTTTTGGATTGCAGGTAGCGAGAACGAGATGCATGGGCTATGGAATCCTTGTTTGACCTTCAGAAGAATGTTTTTCACACCAGATGCCTCGGCGATTCGAAGCAAACGTTCCAGCGCCGATCGTTTCCCCGAAACAACGTGGTTCTGCTCTGAGTTATAAACCGAGATAGTGATTTCATCCGTTAGGTCAGATTCTCGGATCAGAGTTTTGACCGTTTCTTCGGAAGTGAACAATGCTGCCATCGCTCCGCGTTCCGGAGTATCGTGATCCATGGCCGCTGACCGAGCTATAATGAACCGCACGGCCCCTTCAAACGAGAGCGCGCCAGCAACGACTATAGTAGAATGAACGAGTGCTCGCGGGGAATAGTTACGTCTACATACCAGAAGCGGCAATCTCTCCGACGCTGTGTCCAATAACACCTTGAGCGCTGATTCCAATGCTCTGCAGCCAGGTGGATACCGCATATTGATACAAGAATATGCAGACAGGGGCTATATCGGTGCTGTCGAGCGAATGCTCTGTATCTTGCGACTCCTCGAGTAGCAAGGCGCGAAAATCGACGGAGAGTAAGCTAGACGCCTTTGCACAAGCCTCCAGGATTATTTCTCGGTACCCGGAGAAGGCACAAAGAGCTCTGGCCATCCCAGGATATTGTGAACCCTGTCCTGGGAACGCGTGGACCACTTGGAGTCCCTGTCTGCAAGAAGCAAGCGTAACTGAATCGGCTGCATCTTGAAGTTGGCGACGTAAATTGGAAACAGAGGTCGCCACACAGCAAAACCTGTGGCGATAATGTTCTCGTCCGATGCACGTGGTATAGCACACATCTTCGAAGAATTCCTCCGGAGTATGGGCTAGATAAGAGATGTACTTGAAGATAAGATCTCTAAGAGCGGCGCCTGTCTTCGCACTAACGGCAAAGATCATATATTGTGGACGTTGTGGTGCTGAACCTTGTGCGCGGCGCTGTTCATTAGCTTGTTCCAGCACAGCAGCAGCTATGGTACCTGCGAAGCCGTACGCCCTATGAATCTTCAGCAAGGGGGTCAATACATGAGCAACAAAAGACTCACAAGACAAGGCCCCGAGATGGGCCCGAATCGTGCCTGAGAGAAACGGTACGCGCAGGGATACGTAATGGTACCGCATTGCAATTTATGCCACGGTTGAGATTCCCTTCGGTGAGGTGAACCAAGCCCGGGACGGTGCGGTGCTTGAAGGACAAAAGTGTCTTTACGACACCTACTAAGCCAGCGACGCTCTCAGTGTGTCCGACACACGATTTCGCCGCGCCGACGATCAAAGGAGATCGAAGTTCATGAGAGCCGGCAAAGACTTCGTTGATCGCCTGGATTTCTATGATATCACCGAGCCGAGTCCCGGTACCGTGCGCCTCGACCAAACTGGAGGCGTTGATCAGCAATTAGTCGTCGAATGTCTTATCACATACTTACTGCAAGTCGGAAGGTTGTAGCCCTGCTTTTGACAGCACATTTCTCTGCAGAGTAACCTGTGATTTCGCACTTGGAGCGATAAGACCTTGTGTACGGCCGTTATGCTGTACTGCCGTGCTCTTGATCACACCAAGGATTGTATCTCCATCACGAACAGCAGCAGATCGAGTCTTCAGTATCAAGGAAACGGCTCCTTCGGAGGGAACGTAGCCGTCCGCCTCCTCGGTAAATGTGGCGCAACGCCCTCCTGGGGATGTCATGCGCTGGGCGGAGAGGAACCTAGCAAGGTCTTCCGTTGAACGTCTTTATACAGGACGGGCTGTAATTTCTTACCCAAGAATTCCTGGCCTACGAAGATACTTAAGCGCCGCGGTCACCTTACTCTCATAGAGTACTCACCAAACGTGGGTGTTTACGCCGCATACCAGCGCACTATCGCCATCACCGCTCTGCAAATACTGAACCGCTAAGTCTAATGGTCAATAGTAGATCGGCAGCGCTCAGTCATGGTCACGTACCGTGGTCAAGTGCGACTAGGCCGCCACTGCAAGCCGTGTCAATTGTTACTGAAGGCCCGTGCAGGTCGAGAAGGCTGACAACAATGACATAAGCAGTCGCTATAGGAATAGGTGCTGGAGCAGACGCACTAGCTAAGTCTGCCGCAGGCAGTACTGTTGGCGATGCCTTGGCCGTAGAACCGGTTATATACTGAAGAGAATGGGCTCAGTTCTTGTCGATGTGCAATACATAACCACGTACTATTGAAGCCTCCTTCAGCGAATAGAAGATGAGAATAGCCGTCATCCGGGCCAGTAGCCACCCAAACTCCCATATTCGAGCCTTTAACTTGCGATACAGGTATATTCGCATTTTCAAATGCTTCGAATGCAGTTTCGAGTGCTAGACGGACGGACGGAGAAACCGATAACGCCTCAGACGCGGATATACCAAAAAAAGATGCATCAAAGCTTTCGATATCCACGAAGCCCGCTCGATCCAGGGTTACATCACCTGGCTTCTCGACGGTAGGACAGTAGAAGCTTGCGTGGTCCCACCGATGCGGCGGTATGGGGGTCATGATGTCCTTTCGGCGCTCAATCAATGCCTGCCATAGCTTGTGCGACGTGTCGAGACCACCAGGAAGGCGGACAGCCTGGCCAACAATAACGACTTCAATAGAGGATTGATTATATTGTCTGCTGCTTGCACGGATGTCGTGGGACAACGCAGAGTGAGGCGCCAGGGCGCCGACGACGGCCGTCGTGAGGGCGAGAACATTGATATGGTCGTGACATGTCGATAAAGGCAACGTTAGTTGAAACCGCTCGTTCAGCGCGTTCACCGCAGCGACCGCCATGAGCGAGTCCATGCCCAGCTGTGGATATGATTCAGTCCATGTCATGATCACAGAGGGAAGATCAAGTACTTCTGCGAACGTGCAGTTCTGGTCGGCCTCTAACGCGTCTCTCTCTACGCCTAAAATGCCACTGATAACGGTGATGACCGTCTGGCGGACGTCATCCATTGCAGGTGCTTGCTGATTATGTTTATCACGTCCGGCCACTTGACCGAAGTTGTCCACCAATCTATCTTGATACAGCCGACGAAGCTTCTTGCGGAATAACATCCCTTTCTTCGTCAGTGGCAGTCGTTCGTCGCCTTCGAGTATCAGGATCCGGCGTGGTGTGATGCGCAGAGGAGGCGGTAAATCACGGTTTATGACACCTATGGCACGCATGATATCGCCTCGATCTCCACTACCGGTGTCAGGCTCGATGATGGCACAAACATGTCGAGAGGTGGCGCCTAGGAACCGATCGCCAACCACACAGGACCGGGAAATGCCAGCAGAGCCGTCCAGCTGTCGCTCGATTGTTCTTGGATCAAATTGTTCTCCGGATAAGAGCTGAATATATTCCTCCTTGCGACCTTCCCAAGTGTATCGACCGTCCGTAAACGAATATATATCTCCTGTGCTAAAGGTGATATATCCTTCATCATCTCCACGGAAAGCCGTACTATCATGATTTAGATAGCCGCGGCTGATGAGACGACTTCGAATCAGGAGTTCACCTCCTGTGATACGCTATGAACTCCCGCTCATGACGGAACAACTCAATGACTGACTGGTGGTTCTTCCATCACTCTGCGGATCGAGAAGCGTGAGCTGAGCATCCGCTATAAGTTTATCCTCCATCCGCCAGCCCGCATCCATGCAATCGACTAAACGACCGTGGAAAAGAGGACCTATGCAGGAGTTGAATGAGGTGATTGGCCCAGCTGGACTATATATGCTTACCTCCCAACTCTGTTGAGCCTATCCCGATCACTAGGTTCAACCTCAATCTTGTGCACCATTGCAGGAGCTGAGAATTGCATTTCGCCCCTCCACATATGATAACCTGGTATCGTCGGAGAGCATTCTGAATCTCAGACCTTCTTTGGCTGCGAAATGCTTCGCACGTAGCCATGACACCCTCAAGAACCCACGGGACAGCTGCTAATGCGGTTCCTCGTGTCCGAACAATTGCATCCGCTAAGCGATGTGGTATGTCTCCGCCAGCCATCGTTTCGTCATATAAGTCCGGAAGTCGATAAGTCGAGGGTGTCAGAGCAAAGACGTAACAGCCGCCTGTTAGGATGGTGTGTGTACCGATGTCATGCGATATACCCATAATATGCGTCCAGGGCGACCATCCCAGGACTCGCAATCGAGCAAAATCGTTGTCCGGATAATTGCGACGAAGCCAGGAAAGTTGGGATATGCAACCCGCATAGATCGAGCGGTGTGACAGCGGAACGGCCTTCAGGTTGGAGACGGAGGATGCGGAAGAAGTGAAGACATATAGCCCAATATTCTCCGGAGGGCGATGCACGGGAGGCGGCGTGAGTTTCTTGGGGCCATACTGGCGGATCAATGCAGGGATCGTACTTCCCTCGAGAGCGAAGGCGCGGAGCGGGATATTATGAGCTAACAACAGAGATCAGAGGGAGCAGGGTCGAGAGGAGTTTGATCCATGGCGTACATCTTGCAATTTTCTGAACCCTTGCGTCCGTCTCCGGAACTACGACACATTGCGGCCCAATGTTTGTAAGCATCCCACTAATGAGCTCGTCCGGGGCATGATGGTCCAGAGGCGCCACTATGCCGCCGAGGAGCCACACAGAAAGTATCACCGCGAGGACATACGGATGGTTCTCGCTGAGTATGGCCACAGTAGGTGTCGGTCCATAGTCTCGTTCGAGTTCTTCCGCCAGAATGCAGCACACTGAGAGCATATCTTGATATGTAAGGCTATCGGGCCCACATTCCGCCATTGGTAGTAAGGCGCATTCCTCGGAGAGACATGTTTCGATCCAGGCATCCACGAGTGTCGCAGGCTTCTTCGACATCAAACCAGACCTGCGGAGGAGAGCGATCAACAGAGGGGAGGGATTCGGATAGCATCACAGCTGCACATACATAAGAGCGAGCGCGCTCATTCTCAGGACCGCGGCTAAGTTACATCTCGTCAGCCACAGACGAATGCGGGATCAAATTTGGAGACGAACTGATGAACGTTCTCGCCCCAGTCCATCGGTCTTGGCTCAGATTTACGAGTGGTCAGCAAACGTGACATGAAGTGATGCTAAGACCCCCTTAAGTAAACTGATTTTGTTCAGGGGCAGATTGATGAATGTCACGTCATGGTAGGTAGGTAGGTAGGTATA